GGTGTACTACACGAGTCGGATTGGTCTTTCATTTCAGTTGTTGAGTGGTGATTTAGGAGCGTTCTCGCTAATGTCTTTATTCAGAAAATTTAACGCCTTAGAGCTCCAGACCCACCAGTTTACTTGATACATTGATTTTGTTGATTCTTCACACAGAACGCCATTCAGTTAACAACAATCTTTGCCTCACTGAAAGTCAAAAACATAGCCTTTTTGATGGAGTTCTATATGACTAAAAGCCACTGCCCCAATTACCTCTAAAAATAAAAAAAAGCTGATGAATTCTTACAGTCAAATATGCGCGAGGGCGGCGAGGCCGAGCTGAATCAACAGCCACCTTGCCCGTTCATAGATGACGAAAGAAAGAACAGGCCATTACATTTGGGGCTCAGCCTCAACAAGCACGCCGTTGAGACTTCCCCTTTGTCATCTCCCAGGTTTGCCTTAAGTAGCATCCAGCTACCCGCGCCGTGCTGGCGACCAGTCGCTGTTCAAAGTAGTACTAAAGGTGACGACAGCATAGGCCTCACAGAAACGAGACCGTCCAGTACAATAGTGAGGACAAGAGTGTTATTGAAAAGCAGATTGCTGTTAACATTTTTCGGGTTTGACCGCGAGCAAAGACTTGATCCCCTTCGAAGTCCATCATTCTTCCAGCGACTAAAACATCTTATCACCGAAGATCTCGCTTAGCCCGGTGAATTTGACCGTTCTCTCAATTGCTGTTTTTTGCTAACGAATTCTATTGTTAGCTATATTGAAGAACTAGATTTCGTCGAATTCAGGCTGGAGGTACTCGTCTTTCGGCATGATAAATATCTCGACCTTTGCGGAGTGAATCGAGATTTCGGGCTTTGGTGAGACTTTCTACATACTTATGATAGCTTCACATCCCTATCACTTCAGCTTCAGTGGCTCCAGGCATGTTTGAAATCATTCGCAAGGTAATACACGGGGTGGTACATGACTACTCAGACAGAATCGGCATCTCTCCGCTGTTAACGCAGGGCATATGCTTCAAATATGGAGAGCATTGAAAAAGTTGAGGGATAACTTCGAAGCCGAGGTGAGTACGCCAGAATTCCAACTGCAATCAAAGAGGACTTATCGTATATTCTTAGGTATTTAAACGTGGATGTGTCTCTAAAGGAACGCACAATTGATCAACGAGAGAATTCCTTGATGGTTATCAGAAAATTGTGCCTCGAGTGGGAGGATTCAAGAACAGAAGAAACCGTTCTTCCAGAGCCACGGGATCCTCGTTCGCAAGAAAAGATTGAAGAGATATCTAAGAGGCAACTCGAACCGTATTTTACTTATACTCCTAGCTTCACTCTGACATCTGATCCACCTACCATAAGCGAGAGTAAAAAGTATATCCCCCGCCGTCGCAACCGCTTCACGTCGCTATCGCTCGTAGCTGGGGTGGATACGTTGGAAACGTACGAAGAGAGGGAATTAGATACAGATTATCTTTATTTCCAACCAAAGTTACTCTGTACTGTGTATTTGAGATTTCCTTTCGATATACGTCATCTTTCTCCTTCTAGTCAGATTTTACCTAATATCTTACAGCAGTCCAAGGGTCGTTCGTGGCCAACCATCCACTGGAAGCAACAATGAGATGATCATTGCTGTCATGATAGATTTACCCTGGCTCAACATTGTATAGGATGAGATTGACTATTTTTGTTTCGTTCTCAAAAAATCAGGGGGTTGCGTAGATTGCTGAAGAATGATGATGGCTTGTGAAAGGCTATCACACACTCGATGTAACAGTACTATCCCCACACAGAGACACAAAGATCTCAAATAAATGATGTGATAGGCACATGCTACGGGAGAAGAAATGACGGGGCTCAGAGTGATAGAGTGCCTAGCAATGGTCAATGGGTAATTGATTCTGTCTGTCGATTTGCCGGTGTACTGCAAAATGAAATTTACTGCAAGAATTTCGAGTTAAGTCGGGCAAGACAAAGAGCTCGTTTCAAAAACTCTCCGGTCAAACATCGAGGCCGGAAGTACTATCCAAGTAACCCTGAAATGATTTGAAATCCTTTAGACTACACACCAGTAGTACGAGGCACGTGCTAAGTCACTGGTGCCGGTAAGGAAGACTCAAATTTTCTAGACCAGTTCGAATTCCGATCAAAGCAAAAGCACTCGCTGCTCGTCAAATGTACTCGGTCTACGATTTGGTGTTGGACGGGCGTAAGCATGCCCGGGAAAGAAGTTCAACCCGCTCTGAAAGTAAACGAGGGTACTGACCGCGAGAGGAGAGGTGTTAAGGGGTCTGTATCGCAGGACAGAGGACCTGTTGGCTAGGCAGAGAGTCCAAGTCTATGGGGTCTGATTTCAAAGACTGAATCTTGGGGTCTGGCAGGCTCCACCAGTTCCCACAATATATACATAGAGGTTCCACGTACCGAGTCCCCACAGCCCCACACAGAGCTCTTGGGGTTGTTACCCTAAGACGACGCGGGGTCGATTCGATCGTGAATCGTCTTGAGTCACCACGTATGACTTGCGCCGTGACAAATACATGGAAAAAACTTGGTATCTCCTATTATTAGTCATATTATAAGGATACTTCCCGAAAGGGATTAGCCCGGGGGGGACTGGATTGGAAAATGACAACTCTGACTCATGAACCCCTACAGACTGTCTTCCTCTGATAGTTGATCCTTGGGGAATCTGCGAGTCCTTCGTTCAGTCGTGACGTCCTTGATTTGCGGCCGGCTGCGGCCACCGCGGAACACGTGACCCATCCTGGGTATCCTTAGGTCCCGTTTTCCAAGTCCCCGACCAAGCTTACCCGAGCTCCCAAGAGACGGTACTGATTTCTCTTCTTACAATTCTATTATATTATTCGTCATCTGATAAATTGATAAATCTTTAATAAAGTTCTGAATAATTACCGAAGTCTACTAAGATTATCTAGTAGATCCTATAACGGATGCAAGTATAAAATCACTTCCTACTAACTTTAAGTAATACGACAACTTAGAATCATGTAACCTATTATAGCCTGATATAACCTGATACCACCTTCACCACCTCATACAATCTCTATATTGACCTTATAGGGTTAGAGATCATAGGGTGAAATAACCGAATTAAACTGTTGTAGTAAAGTTAGTCAAGTATTTTTCAATCTTAAACAAGTTTAATCGATCTCGCCACCGCATGGCCTCCACCCCGTGAGGTTTGAGGTCTTTCAAAATCAAGAGAAACCGGTAAATTCCAGTTTATCCGGTTCATGACCACCCCATCACCTCCATCCCACCACCCCACGAGCTAGCCCCCGTGAGGAACTTCTAGAGTAGAATCTTATATTACGTTCTTGATACGCTTAGTATACAATAGGCGGTACGAGAAAATCTTCAATTAGCATACAGAATACCATCAGAGCTTTCCGCAAGAACAGGAATAAGAAATCATTTCTAGTTTGAATGGTGTATAGAGTATATGAATTCCGGGTGTATGGACCAGAGGGATATGTCTACCAAAATCTGGAGTTGATTTTCGTAAATAGCGGTGGGTTGGGGACCATGGGAGCTTAGCACAATTTGCGTGAGCAGGTTCGAAGGGACATGGTTGCAGTGAAACGCACACTATCTACTTGTTGGTTTCTGTGATCAAAATCGACTCAGCTCTAGGTCGAATAGATTCACGGTCGCTTCTGTGAAACTAGGAGGTTTGGTACGAGATTTTAATGTATCTATTAGCGTAATAGAATCGCGAAGAAGCTCGAAGAAGACCGCGCTATGCCGATAGGAGTCATCGTGAGGAATCGATTTCGAAGTGATTTCCCTTCTACATGTCTGTGGTTGCGTTGCCGCTGGATCTTTGGATTTTCCCGCCAGGTTGATCGGATTTGAAATCACACCATAGTGACGTTCAACATCTCGGCAACTCTTCCGATCTTCTGGTCTGATCTTTGCCCAATCTGGCTGGAAACTCTCATTGTCTGAAGACGAGAATGACCGCAGTCTTCCGGTTGCTCTGTCTCGCAGAAAGAGATGTACCTCTTGGCCGCAGAGAACGCCTAATTCCGAGCATTTTTTATAAAGACCCAGCGCTCTTTTTTCTAACGTGATTTTTTTTTTGCGAGGGTCTTCAATCTTAGCAATGATGCGTTTCCCTTTTTTCATGATCAATGTTGGCCCCTGTCAAGTCGAGGATTACGGACTATTAATACCTAAATTTGGATGAGGATTCTGCTAAATTTAGACTTGCACCAAATTTGCAAGAGACAAACACGTGAAGCCTGGTCCATCGTTCTAGCTTGATTTGTCCAGGAAGGTCGCGCAATACAGCAGAGAAGGTGAAATGTCCAGTATCCACTCTCGTGCCAAAGTATGCGAGTACAAATGTTCAACAGGTATGAATTAGGCGCAAGATCAGTCTATCGACCTGTACGTCTCAACAGGCTGTATTATGGTAGAGAATGTGAGTGAGTGAGGGACAGAGAAAAAGACCAGAGGAGTTTACAAATACCATATCTGGCTGTATAAACTACACAGCCTTAATCGAATAGCCGTCAGGCGAGCGCCAACTAAAAGTCATGCGTATCTAAATACGTAAAGCCACTCTGTCTAGTTATAAGTGGTATACGCTCCCTGTTCTGGAATCAACACGACCGATCGAACGGAACGAAAATCAGTATTCTAGCCAAGCTCGTGGCAATATATTGACTTCATGCCTTTAGCCTTCGAGGGTAAAATAGCATCTCGTATAGGTCTTGCTATGCAACAACGTAGAGTTAGTCAAAGCCCTGAGCAGACAAGGGGGACCTTAGCAGAGGGTTCAATTCGTCCGAGTCCTTCACCAGCTTCAAATCATCTGGAAGTTCATGATGAATTTGTTCACCTATTACATTTTCTTCGATCACCGCTATATCCGTTAGTATCTTGCGACACGGGCAAGTATCATGATGACTTTCCTACGAATATCCTCGGCTACTGTCTTCTCACTTCCGACCCGAGACATTTTCCTACATGGCCTATGCACCGACATGGCTCGACCATAGTGACAGTGCATCTCAGAACATGAAGTCCAGACGATCTCACTTCGGCCGGTTTATTGGCCTACGACAGGACTGGTACTTCGACGGTGATGTTCCGCTTGATCCCAGGGTCCTAGACCTCCTGCAAAGAATTGAGGATGACTTCGTGAATCTTCAGCTAATTGCATAGGAGTCAGCTCCGCTTGCTCTCAAATTCTTAGTACCACCAATCGCCAGAAGCTAACTCCTCCCCGCCATCATGACTATCGTCAAAGTATATCCATGCAGTGGTCACCCGGGAAAAGGATGAGTACACTAATATTGTGCGTATCGACACTGAAGCAAGTGACAACCGCATGTAGCTCGGTAAAATCATTCAATATAATATATAATACATAATATACCCCGTCCTCACTTGAGGGAGCGTCTGGAAAGCAGGAAAAAACGAACGTTTCATAATTTTCAGACTATGTAAGCGATTCATAACCGTAATGACCGATAATATTTCTCTTAGTTTCCCATATCCATCTACTCCCTAAGTTACTGTACCTAATCTTTGCTGCAGTTGATATTATATCGTAACACATGTAATCGTAATTTCGTTTTATCTATCATCGCTATAAATCACGACCAAAATGCTATACAAGAGTGAATCTGATTTTGCCTTTCTGGAGTCACTCTAGCCATCTTGTTTTTCTCAACCGTTCAATCAGCAGTGACAGGCCGAGTTCGAAGTATATTACGTTACTCGACGACTGGCGATGTATATCCTGGCTCTCCCTCTAGAGTTGGTCGAACATATTTGTCACAGTGTATGCGAGCCGAAAGTACGATCATGTGAGAATTTCCACTGATGGATTTCTAGTTACCCCCATGGGATCACATCAGACTTTTGGGATCCTGCAGGCAATTACGCTATATGGGGTTTCCAAGTCTTTTTGACAGTATTGTAGCGGACATCAGCAAAGATTATACTGCTATTCTTCGAATACTTTGGAGCCGTCCACACCTCGTACAACACCTTCGGCAACTCAGACATCTAGAGGTCGTGGCTTCGTCTAGTGTTTTGGACAAAGACCATGTCGAAGTTCTCGTAGAAATTCTTCTGAGACTCAAACACACGAGAATCCGATCAATCAGATATGCTATTACAATGCGCTTGAACTTTGTAGTTGTGGGTCATTGGCTAATAGACCCGTAGCTGGAGGGTGAATTGCGAGATTCCTCAGCTAATTCACGATAAGATCTTGACCATCACAGAGCATTGTCGGATGTCTGCCAATGCGAACAGCTTTGATCCTCTCAATACAATTCCCATGGATGAAAATATCTGCGGACTATACCTTGCCGACCCGACTGATTGTCGTATTTTAATGGTTCAATCCCTTCGTTATCTGTCTCTGGGATGCTGCTCGACCGAGTTGACGTTACTGGAGTCTTTGACCAAGCAAAAGTATCAATGGAGACTTAGTGGATTTGAACTATATCGTTCACGCTCAAAATCTCGTCAAGACTCAAGGCAGCAAGCAGACTTACTAAAGCGATTTTTGGTGTCTTTTCAAGGACTACGACACCTAGAGATTCAGCTAGCGAGCTTTACCGGGGAGATTTTTGAAGACCTATCTAAGGGCATCCACCAACATGCGCAGACTCTGACGTTCCTCGCCTACATTGATTGCTCATATTCTACGGTTGATGGTTTTCTGTATCCCATAGGCTACACAAGCGAAGATATACTCCACGCTATACCGTGTAAGTTACAAGAACTCTGGACGTACGGGTTAATGGAAGCATTAGCCCTAGATGTGTCAACTTTTGTTCTAGTAAGTAATCTGTATATTCAAAGCACGCATCTCTCTCTAACACAAGACAGAATTCCCAGTACATGGAATTACTGGCTCAATCCCCGCTCCGTGTACTGGACCTCCGCCTGCCGCGTGAGGCTACCCATGCAGACATACTGGATTTCCATCTTCTAGCAAGCCGTATATTCGGCGTGACAAGGCCTTCGTCACTGAGTTACCTTGTCCTAACGGAGTCATGTAGACCGCAATGTGGGTCTCAAAGCCAAGTACTATTATGTCGTCGACGAACTGACGGCACTCAACCCAAGCTCGCGTCACTCCGTGCGGACATAACCGTAGGTTGCCGCGCTGACGACCCTATATCCTCTCAAGTTGGCCGAGAAGAGGATCCTGAAAATAACTCTTCACTTTTCCCGGAGTATGAGGTATTGTCATCAAATTTTAGGATACACATGCCTCTCGCGTGGCGGATTGCAAAAGGCTGGGTATAGAACTTTCCCTTTCTATGTGTCTATTGAGAATGCCTAGTTTGTTTTTCTGTGGTACATCAGTCTCTATACATTCAAAAGTATGGAATAGTCACTAATTGACCTTAGTCCTAAAGCAGCGGTCCCGGCCTTATGATGTATATTGATAAGCTAGATCCACGTATAGAAATCAAAGAGAGTAGGGAAGCTTAGATTGGTGGTCTGCGAGTAGACAAGACAGACACTTTCCACGCACAGAGAAAAAGAGAAAGTGGATAACCTGCAAAAGACGGTAGGGAGAAAAACCTATACTATATCACATCACTGCAAGGCTCACAAAGAGGAGTAATCTCCGTTGGCAGATATAATTACCATATTCAATCATCATCGGATCTTGCTGGTTCAATTCAAAAATTACATTTAAATGGTATTTTTGAAGACACCGAAGGTCCCACTCGACCACCCGTTAGAACCAGCAACGACGGCCGAGGCAGTCCAGTAACTGTTTAAAACCACTGGGCGCCTGATCCATTGATTCATTCACGGTCATGTATGTTTACACAACTCCTATCTGCCGGCCTGCTCAGGGTCCGAATGTCTATATAGATGAACTCTGTCACGAGCCAGTGCCCGATATAGGTCACGTGTATCACGAGACCTTGGTATGCTGACGTGGAGAACGCGCGGGATAAACTTTCCTTCCTTAAGCTTTTTGTAAACAGTATGTTGGCCTAGTTAGATTGAATCAAGTCTTGCTACAGCCCTTCACAGACTCGCACTGTTTCATCGCTCGGGTCCCAGGGATAAATACCTCAGCGAGGTGCAAGTCTTCTAGGCTGCCTGGTAGTAAGGAGTCAAGACCTCTCAGAGTAGTATGTTAATTTGTTTTTTAAGTCCCTCGAGGTAGAAGGAAGGGGCAGGAAAAAGTTACTATAGCGCTACTTGGAAGCCTATCTAATTATTACTTTCTTTGCTTGATGAGTCGAGTACTAACTCTCTCTATGCATCATGCATCATGTACGTGAACAATCCAAATTATTTTAGATCTATAATATTGAAATCATTCAATATTCACAATATTACTAATCATTGACGAGAGCATTCACGGTAATCTGATATCAATTAACATATCGAGACGTGTGGGTACAGAACCAATATAAGGGCCCCTCCCGGATACAGACAGTATTCAATAAATTATTATTATTTCTATTATTATTATTATTATTATTATTATTATTATTATTATTATTATTATTATTATTATTATTATTATTATTATTATTATTATTATTATTATTATTATTATTATTATTATTATTATTATTATTATTATTATTATTATTATTATTATTATTATTATTATTATTATTATTATTATTATTATTATTATTATTATTATTATTATTATTATTATTATTATTATTATTATTATTATTATTATTATTATTATTATTATTATTATCATTATCATTAATCATACACGGATCTGTCAGGCCTAGGGCGCAATTTACCGGGAGAGCACTACCTGGAGCCGGGGCTCGCCCTCCTTCCTGTCCGTGGCCAACGGCTTCAGACTCCCCTATGTCTAACAATTTTAGTCTCCCATCATGATGGTAGTCGCGTTTTCAAATTAGAAGCCTTTAGGGCACTGTCAAATATCCGCAGGGGCGGGGCCCTGCGTTGTTGTTCGTACGCTCCGGAATTGGCCCAGGAGCCCCGTTCGCCTCATGAATTCCACTGCCTTCACAGAATGAACCGCGTCCCGTAGGACAAGTATGGGAGCCGAGCCCAGAACCTCCCTTCGGAGTGCTCCCCACTTCGAGCAGTAGTGGCACAGCACGTGGGCTACGCTGAGGGTGTTCCTCCCGCAGCCGTATTGCGCTGGGTCCTGGGATGGGTGAGAGAGCAGTTACTCGTCGCGAGAGTGTTGAAATGATACCGGCTATTCTGCCGCCTCCCTCACCACTACTGGAATCCACAAACCCACATTCTAGCTAGATTCTCTTCTCTTCCTCCCTCAGCCAAACAAGTTGCGTTTAATCTTTTTCTTTTTCTTTCGCACGTATATTCACGAGTAGATAAAAGCTGGGATATTTAGTCCCTCTAAATAGGTAAACATATAAGAAGTAAGGCTACAAGGCCCCCTACGGTAGCCCTCTACACCAGACATCTTGTAACTTAACGTCACACTACCCTCTAAATATCGGCAACCGAGAATATAAAGTCATTTCGTTTTTCTTCATAAATAGTAAATGGAATCCGCCCGGGTGAAATGTTTCCCTGATAACGGCATACGGTTATACTGCCATTCATCAAGTCCGTCCGTGAACAAGGGCGTCAGAATTCAGAAGTGCAAAGGGTAGTAGAAAATATCTTTCAAATTAGGCGCGTAAGGAGCTTGTGAATTTACATCCCCTACGACAGCTCGCAAATCTAATACACGAGATCAAGTATGCAATTTGACGTGAGGATTGAGACTTTTCACGCAGCCCTGTGATCCCGAAAGCAATATTTGCGATCGTGGCGATCGTGAAAGAATGTTACGCACGCACCGTAAGTTTTGGGGCGGTCAATAAGTATTATGCAATAGGGTGACCAGAGCAGCGGAGTGTTGAATCGAACTTCGAGAAATCCTATGAGGAAATACTATTCTAATGAGATTGAGGTTATAGGCTGAATATAACGCTATACGCTATATTGAGTATGGAAAGCGAGTAAGAAGCTATATATATATTCTGATAAGATACGGCTACGGTAGAGGTAGCAGTATCGATGTGTGAGAGGAATGAATAGTGAGATTAGTGTGGGGGGAGATTCTACCTAAGCTATGGACTGTGGGGAGTGGCAGAATCACACGCCATGCAAATATATTCGATCTGAAACTTTCAGCATCCTTATGTAGAAATATCTAAGATGTCAAAATTTCTTACATTCGGAGCTCTCGATATCGTAAATCATGAGGCTCGCTATAGGGACAGGGTATTGGGAGAACGATGAAGATTAAAAAGCGACTCAATTTATAACTACCCTGTCAAGCTCTGTGGGGTTAAGCATCCCGCGGTCGTACTTCGTTATGTGGGCTATGATATATCTCTTCCAAAGCTGTATATGATTGTCTCGTCATGAAAATACTTATCTTATCTGTTAGCCTCCTATAAGTCTGAGCCTTACAGCCTTACAGTGCATCTTGTGTAATAACTGATCTACCTGGCTCTCATTCCTACAATCCCCACGAGGCACCAGCCCGATCTTTGACGCACTATGTTCAGATATACTTCGAATTCTCGAGACAGGATCACGTTTACGCTAACCCTAGGCTTTTTTAGGCCACAAAAGCGATCTTTGCTTCTTGTGTGGTACTTCGTAGATTTCTCTGTCACTATAAAGAATTAAACCAGTTTTACAGGCGAGTATCGACATATGTACCGCAGGAACATCTACGGACATTAGCTGTGCGAGCTGCGATGTCACACAACGCAACACAAAATATTTTCACTACTGTTCCCAACACGTTTGTTATATTAGGCGGTATCACACTAATATTCAATACCATTAGCATGCGCCGCTCCCATTATTTACGGAAGAGAAGCAGAACTCCCCCAATATTAAACTTCAATATGATAGGCAAGTTCTGGCTGAGTGAGAAAAGTTTGCGACTCCTATCACCACAGAGTATTCAAGATTTTGAGGATAGGTATTTAAGACAGCCTTGATCCATGAGGCTCCGGGATCTGTATTTACTATGTACATGGTACGCCCGGAGTCTTAGTTTAACGACTAGTCTCTTACTTAAAATATATCTCTTCCCTTAATGTGTTGATACTAGTATAAGGAATACGTTTCAACGATATCTCTATTCTTACTTGAAATATTGCAGTTATTGCCGATAGACCCTCGCTACTTAGCTCGGTAAAGTGAGCTCATTGACCGCGATCACTAGACTTGATTTGCGGGCACCGTAATCGATATAAGGAAATAATTGATATCGGCGACGTAGAGGAGACCCCCGAATTCGGGATCCAGGATAGAGACACGCCTCTATTACCCCGCTCCCCGCCCTACCCATTTTTTTTTGTTTGGTCCTCGATCCTCTGCGTAGCCGCCTAATAATCAGCGATTAGCTATTGCATATAATACTGCATCAGTATCAGTCGCCCTAGAAGAGGTGGCTGTAAGTTGAAGACTTTGAAATCTTCGACTTTTCTATTTAAGCATATTCTATCTCTTCGACCTTCCCATCCTTCTTTAAGAAATGGAAGATTCGAATTTTCCTGCTGTTGCACGAGAGATCTTTTCGTTTTTCGTGTAGCTGCCCCATTTTCTCCGCACGCATATATACCGTGGGGATTGATTATGGAATGTGTCTCGTCTTGGCAACCATGAATCGAGACCTGATAAGACACGCTAATTCAGGTCTTGAGAGGAAATGGGAATCGGTCTCTTATGCTGCTATAGACGCGCTCTCTCATTGATTATGAGCGGCGGACGAGGAAAATACTGCATTGAAATGAAGTAAATGTTCTTATCTGTTGCTCTTTCGTCTTAGTTCCTTTCTTCTCTCGTTCCCTACGCTTTTATCCCTTCAAAAAGTACACCAGTGTCATTATGCTAATTCGTATCATGTAGCAAAACCGAGGAAAGAAGAACAACGCCAGTGCGAACAGACTCGCACGATAGGCAGGGAAAAAGAGAATAAGGTGACCCCCGCGGGTTGGCCCAAAACATCTGATTCCTCAGTAGAGCTCAGAAATTAGCTCGAAAATCATTTGAAATCATCTTCGATTCATAGTAATACCGACGAGAAGGGAAGACGCACTCTGGGTGAACTACCATACCCCAGGTATTAAAGTTCCATATCATTATTTCGCGTCCAAAAAGGTGCTACTTATATTACGATTTTACACGTCACCACTGTCTGATTATAAATCTCTCTTCGGCCCCGGCTGGATTATAGTAGGCCTATAGTAAATTTAACGCTCACTCAGACCGTCGCTTTGCCGGGGGTAAACCTAGCCCCCGTATGGACGGTGTTACTTCGCCGAAATTCGGTTCTGTTTACATAGCATGTGATTCTGCCACTCCCCACAGTCCATAGCTTGGGTAGAATCTCTCCCCTACAGCAATCTCACTCCTTATCCATCTCACACATTAATACTGCTGCCCCTACCGTAGCCGTATCTCACCAGGTTGTCCTTAATACGACTATCTCTACATCGGCCTCAATTGCGTCTATGATGCGTTACTATTGGAAGTCCAACCTCAAAACCAGCAGCATGTCACCCCAAGGCCGTGATTGTTTTGAAGAGTCGATGTATACCTCGGACACCAAGCTGAAGCTACAGACTGGCGTTGTTTCGTTATGAACAGGTCTCTTACACGGGCGGACGTTACGACTACTTTTACGTATCTCACCAGATAAACAATTTCATCAGTGTCGAGATATAGTGTGAGAACGTCGATTCCTCCCAAATATCAATTTGAGAAGATTATATTCTTCGTGGATGTTATCCTGATGTACCTTGTCTAATTTGAGGAATCATTATTCCTCCCCCCAAATTAGAAGGTACGGGGTGATTAATTAGTCATCTTGTGTTAAATAAGGTAACTACCTGATGCTCTGAGCTAGTTCTACTAGTTTTAGGACAGATCTCAGGTCACACAGACGTAATTCTGGCAATGAACTTTCCGTAAAATCAGCGTATTAAGGCAATCTTGAAGTCGTTTGGCTGATAAGTAGCATTGCAAAGTAGGGATTTACCTTTATTACCGAGAACTCGCCTACTGTATACTTATTAGTTGTTTGGTTTAAGAGTATTTAGAATTGAGTAAGTGCGGAGGGAAGCGGTTACTGAGGTGCAGATATAAGGATATCAGGGCCGCAAAATGCTGATATATAGAGAAAGGAGCGTTCATTCGTAATGATGAGGTGTATTGAATGTCTTCACCTTGTTGAAGCCGGTAAGGTTGGGCTCGTCGCTTTATTAGAGTCGGAATCTCGAATTTATATATAGGCGAGCTTGACTATATCATTGGAATTACAGTATCCTTAGTAAAGATAGAATTTCGAAGGACTATTATAAAGATAAGACTAAGTATATATGCTCCAATAGAAAGGTACTTAGCGTATGTTATGATAGAAGATTCTAAGTAATGATACACAGCACCATTAGTAGCGCTATTCGTATATCTTTCACAGAGTATTTTCCGAACAGAGGCGGTAGTAATCAAACACATCTTGTTCACACCTCGAGATACAGGGCAATATCTTATGATAGTCCTAGTCCAGTAAGCTCGCACAGGGCTTCCTTAGGAGTCCTGGCCGACTTCGGTTCCGATATAACCATTGCTAATCTTTCTTCCACGTCAATTCAAAGGCGCTCGGGGAAATTCCTGACCAGTCTTTCCCTGACGTTGGCGATACTGGTGATAAGCAAGGCCATGATTGGGTATGGCCATTCAAGCGAGGCGTAATAGTCAACCAGCTGGCCGAAGACAGGGTGCCCCCAGACTTGGTATCAACATTGTTGGTCAGGTGCGAACTTGGTGGCAGCTTAGTCATCAACTGTGTAAGAATGTGCTGAGTTCTTTCCAATGCCTCTTCTGCTTTAGCTGCCCGCAGCTTGTACTGGGAATGGTCGGCTTGAGATTTCACGAGCTGAATTTTCAGTTCCTGGTTCTCCTTGTGATATTTTTCGAGTTGCTCATTCAACTTCTTGATTTCCATTTCATCATTTTGTCTCTTTTTTTCTGCCTTGCGCGATGTTCTTGCTGCGCACGTCTTTGTGATAATAGCTTCTATGATCAACAGACGATAGTTAGCACATATGCTCAATAGACTCATATCGTCTCGCTATCTACCTTCGTATCCTTCTTATGTTGTTCAATATTGTCGCACACCCTCGTGCTGGTATCATGGCTGGCTACCATCATGATGTTGAAATGCTCCAGGATTTGAATGTGAATTTTGTGGACTAATTCGAAACATTGACCAGTCCTGGAATTTATGGGCGCGACGACCGAGTTTTTAAGTCGCAAGATATTCTTGAGACTAGTACAGTTCTATAGATGGGTATGTTAGCGGACGGACCCGTTAGGATACTCGGAGTCGTCATGATAGGGCGCGAAAAATCCTATTTAATCTGATTGTTTTGCTTGATTTTTTTTATTTTTACATGAATGATTTTATCGAGCTAGCGCCCCCGGTCATGCGCCTCCTAACACAAACCCTTCTAATACAAACTAGAATAGTATCCCTAACTACCTTCTAGTAGAAACCTATTATTACTAGAGAAGATTTAAGGCACGAGAATTAGGTGGAAAAATGCCGTTTGCTATTCTATGTAGTAGACTATTCCGGCAAGTATAATACCGTGTCCCTGATGCGATCATGGTGCCTGTGTGGACATGCAAACGCTGCGAGAAACGGGTCAGGCATACTAAGCACGAAGAAGGTATCCGCCAAGAGCGTTCCAGAGGGAACTAGGGGATTGTGAATTACCTTTCTCTAGGATAGATTAGTAAAAGGTTTCAAAATTCTGCGATTCCTCCTACCTCGGTTGGACAAAACTAGTGTAAGAGAAGCTTCGTACTTTTCTCACCAGCCCTAGATCGCCTACCAGTCGCAGGCCCTACATGAGAAAGTATTATCACAATTGTAATCGCTAGGTTTTGCGTTGACTGCTGTTGGATTTCTGCCAATCTGGTCTGTGCCATTTACGGGAACAAGACAGCGTATCTCACTAGTCTGCAATAGGTATTATTAACATTGATACACTCGGTTCTGGCCGTGTTTGACGTTATCCGGTACAATTTGTTTGGGTGCAGACATCTTCGGAATCTTTTTCCATGGCATGTGATTCTGCCACTCACCACAGTCCATAGCCTAGGTAGAACCTCTTCCCCCTCAGCAATCTCACTCCTTATCCCTCTCACACATCGATACTGCTGCCCCTACCGTAGCCGTATCTCATCAGAATCTTTAATATTGGACTGCACCTGTAATACGGGATACAGAGAACATGTTCATCACGGCAGCACTTGTGATCGCAGGATGGTAGGTCTTCTGTTGTCTCTTAGCGGACTTTCTTCTTTCGCGATCGGCTGGCTCAAAACAGACTATGTATACCCCACTCCAGAGCTCGAATACAGTTCGGATGTAACTTCAACACTGATGCGTTTAGGATATGTCGCCGGATCACGGTTCGGTGCCCAGGAACACGGATTCGCTACAAAACATAATTTGGGCCTAAAATTGGCGATCAAGATCCCTTCTAATTGCTTTAATTGTTACATGACAATCAACGTTACAACGACTAGTCCTGTGATCCTGCTTTCTTGACAAGATCCCCTAGATAGACCCTCGTAGCTCTTCTCGGATTCAAATATCGATGATGATGAAACCCTGAAAGAATAAAGCACCTCGAGACAGCCTAGCAAAAGTCCGAGCTCTCGCTCAGAGATCACTAGATTCTGACTAGAACCTCGGAGAAGGTGTTCTGTAGGGGTCATAATAAAGATAGGCCTAATGCGATTCCCTCTCCAGTTACTTTCTACCTCACAGACACCAACACCGAAAAGCCAAGGTCATGCGAAACAAAATCGTCTTATACTACGATACAATCAAATGATACGACGTTTATATCTAAACGAAAGCGAATTTATCGATTATGCTTACATGAAAGCGAGACTCTTCTCTTGTTACTTCGCACTGTAGCGTAGTACCCGCTTCTTAGAAAATTGGCCGAAAAGGTTCTGTTAGTACGGTTGTAGCAGTGTTGACGCTGGCGGACCAGGTCTCCGTATAGAAATAAAGTGGAGAGAGGAACAGTGGGACTGCGGGACTAGTATTAGGTGAAGAGGCAAAATGGCTACGTAGAAGTAAAGAAAATGGAAAGATGAAAGACTATTAGGAGAGAACCCGTGCAAAACTTCAAGTCCTTCCCTTGACTACTACCACTGAGTGAAAAGAGGCAATCTCTGCCAACAAGTTGGCCAGGTAGCTAAACTGGAATGGAGTTAGATAAAGACTGTGAAAGTTACCCTACATATCTCCGTCTTCTGATTTTTCGAGAAGGGAATACGCCGACCGAGAAAGACGACTATAAATAGAACACTCCTTTAGCGGCAATACTTATATCTAGAACGTGATTCAAGCCGAAGAGAAGACAACTTTCGCATATAATTAACAACAACCTTAGCGTTCAATTGGTGCACACTCGACTTACACCATGGCCCGTATTCATGTCGCCGAGTGGGAGGAATATCTGGGCTTACACTTCGTGAAATATAACGATATACAGCCGGACCCTGAAAAAGCCACAATAGCCCTTGCAAAAGATGAGAGGAGGTGGATGAAAAGAATCAGGAAATCTTTCGATAACGCGGAATTCATTGAGAACGCTCCGATCATAATGGTATCTCGAAGTGACTACGAAAAAACGCAATGCTACGGTCGGCAACTCCACAGAAATTCAGAACCACAACGGCTTGAGTTTTCAGGAGTTCGAATGACCTGTTTGGACGGAATATCACGTATACGGGCGATTATCAAATGTAAAGTCTTGAGCAAATTCTGTGGGTTTGGATATGCGTACCTGTTTTTCGATAGTGAGTGCTACACCCCGTGGGTTCCTGCGCCATATGGATTCTTTTCAACGGCTAAGCTATCTGAGATGAGAAGCTATGGAGAAGAAAAAAAAAATTATCTTACTTGGGGGGTTTCTCATTACAAGCTTCCGAATGTGTCCCAGATACGGCTCTATCTTCAACATAGAGATGACCTGACCGCAAGTGGTCAGACGAAAGGGCTGAATCATTTGATCCGCGACAGTGAATCGAAAGGTCAGATGGTCTTGAGAAACTGTGACAGACTTGGGCCTCTATACGAGAGATTTCAACAGGAACTTCCGAAGATGCTGTACGGAACATTGGAAAGCCAAGCCAAAAAATACCACGCGACACGATGCGAGCTGGTGAGTACCCTCAAGTCCTTGCAATTGTCCAAAAGCCTCACCTCCACAAATTGATCGGTTTACAATATTCTAGTCAATCAAAAAATACTGGGATGATTACATTCTTGGCTTCTGGTGTCGTTTACGGGAGCGGGTTCATCAAATCCGAGGAGATCAGTCTTTCTCGTTAGATGATGTTCCATCTGATTTGATAGACAGGATGCAGGCCCGCATACCCTCGGTTTCACAACGCGATGCAGATGAAATCAAGGCGCTTTTTTCTTCCCAGTATACATTCGAAGGACTACGAGGAGGTTGTCGAGAGGCACTCGAGGCTGCGATTTTGGAATCCAAATGCATGATCCCATCAATGCAGCTATTCACAGTGCATGCCAGAATTCTATGCAAAGTCTCGATATCACTGAAATCTATGCTGGGGCTTCAGAAGGGAGCTTATGGGCGAAGGGAAGGATGCGGAATACCGGCTGAAGAGACCCTGAGAGGATTATACACACAACCGAACAACAACGTGGACACTTACGCAATACAAACACCAGAAGGCTGGAGAACGATAACCGCTCCGTTCCAGGTACGCCAAGAGCTCAGCTGTCGACAGTTGTGGTTGTTCATGATGAGACATCTCAACAACGCAAACCTGCCATCATTCCCAAACCACCTGGCCAGCATGGCAAAGCGCCTGGGTTTCAATTCGGATTGGATAGCGAAGCGTGCCCGCGAAGACATTGACCTTCTTCCTCACAACCGTCAAACTTTTCGAGGGAATCTGTGCACTGGCTGTAAGTTTCCCAACATTACACGGGATGACTGTTTAGGTCAGAAAGGTGATCGCTGGTTAGAGAAAACGGAGGCCGCGCGGCAGCACCTTTTTTCGACGTTGCTGAAACCATTGGCACAGATGCAAGTCAAATATTTGACCAGTTCGCTAGTTGTAATACGCTTATAGAACTTGCATGTATATATCGAGCGTTCTTTGCCGATCCATTCTGCCCTTCACAGTACGCTGAGGTCCCGCGCAGACAAGCGGTAGGGAATCGACAGACACAGCACTCCACAAGGGAGTCCGACGTCTCACTACGAGAACTCGAATCTAATTACCAGAGCGAGTCCCCCCAATTTGGCAGCTCGCTCAATGCGCATCCGAGCACCACTCATGCAAGAGGAAGCGATGGGAATTCGGTCCGCCAGTCGGGTAATGACCAGGATGACCGGGTTTCTACACTAGAATATTCCGCGGATGAGATCCCTGAAACCGAGACTCGACAGGATCCGGAACTTTGGACAGACATACGTAGCAGTTACGTGGGGCCAGAGAACATGACAGGTCAGTGTGACCCTTCGTACCAAGACGAAATTCCTGTACATGAAACGGGATAAGTTTCATACTCCATACAAAGACTCACAATTCAATCACAGATCCGCCAACCCATTATACGAACTTGGTTCCTCCCATACAGAATGATATAACACTATTGGACAAAGAGACTTCGCATCACGATGCGACCACTGATTTGTTTCCACTGGATCGAAGATTCTCGCCAGAACCCTCAGGCTCCACGCAGACACATAAAAACAGTCATGAGCGTCAAAACCACGCGAGTAACTGGAAATCACCCTATGTGGAAGCTGAAAATGATAGCGATTCGAAGTAAGTCGATTTCCTCTAGATGTTTGCCATTTACCTAGTCTGATACCTTCTGAAATTACTCCTGGCAGTGAGATGCAGTCTCCAGGCCCCGATACTGCCCAGGTTTCCAGGAAAGGCGTGGGTGGACACGAGGCACATTGGCCTCGTGATGGTTTCAACGGCGCTCAGCCCAACGCTATTCATATCGAAAAACAAGACGATTCTTCCACAAATAAGCCTTGCGGGGAGTTTCCCATGTGTACCGGTAGAAGTGAATTGGAACCTACTTTTCACATCAACCCTCAAATTAACGTTGAGTCATCTTCAGTGCATGAGTTCCCTGCCCACTTAGTCAGCTCTTCCGCGGCCGCTAAACCAACAAGTGATGAGGCGTACTTCCCTCACCCGTTTGATGTGATGGATATTAGCTTAGACTCACCACTTCCGGCAAAATCTGTGCATCAGGCAGGTGCGTTGGTTGACAGCAGCGATGGCACATGGCGCGCGGCACAAATTCCATACGTACAAACTCCACTGAATGGCGGACATGTGGCAGATTCGGTTGATAGGGTTCTTGATCCTGTGCCTCCGGTCTCGCATTCCGGGATCAGAACACCACCAAGTCTCCGGACCAGTCATAAGACGTCCACATCCGACATGAACTATCGAATGCATTTTAGCCAGGAATCGTGCCTGCAAGAAGCTACTACTGGCGCGACGTGGACCGAGGCACAAACCTCAGATGTATCAGATGTAGAAACTCCATCACTTGGCGAACATGGACCATCCGTGACCTCGGATGCTACAAATCCCAATCCAAGCAAAGTTCTGACACCAGGTGGAATCGAAGAAGGCCACTGTAATTCGTACAAAGCCAGTGCCAGCGCTCGCGGATTCAAAAGGAACATCTCGAAATTCTCAGGACCCAATAAAGCTAGAGCGATCGAGGAAAAGCAGCTCACCCGGCGACTTACACGGAAATGGCGACGGTGGCTGGGCGCACCACATAGAATCAGAACACGCGAGAGGAATCACCGGGGAACTGACGGCCCCCGCTCGATGAAATGCTCCAATGAATTGCTAATGAATGCGATGAAGGACTGTTTCCACATGTCTCAGAGCACTCACGGACCTGATTCACGAGGCATGAACCCGGCAGAAATTCGCGAAGTGTCGTCACCTTCTTGGCAAGGACATACGATGCAGTATCCAGTTACAATGGATCGAGGTGGAAGTATGGAAAGGAGCTTCTGTTCTCAAGCCGAGGCACCGTCACAGCTATACCAGCCAACATTTTCTTTCTATGGCAGTGGAAATCAAAGCCCACCATCTTCGAGGGTTCATGGATTTCAACTTCCATCAGCCTTGCCACACAACCACGAGACAGATGACACTGACGCCGATACACAAATAGATAAGATGAATAAGCGCCAAATGTCCAGCACGGAGTCTAAAACGAAGGAAGACCCAATCGCTGTATCACCGATCGGACCCGGGCTAGAACAGCCTCAGACACAGCCTAATGCAGATGTGGTTGATCAGCGACAAGATACCGCTGTAGCGAACCATATTCTTGACTCAAAAGACACGCATACCGCAAGGTTGCAGAGATACGATGCTATTTCAGGCCGTGCTCGTCCGCAACGTTACAAATTAGGGCCGAAGGGAGAAAAAAACTTTCAAGCTACAAACGTCGCATACGCCTCATGGGTTGTTCTCAACGGTACCTATATCAAGACTGTGGAGCATCGCGCGAAATCTGAAGTCAAAAATCATGTGGAAAGACATATTTCCAGGGCAACTAACAAGAGTGGCCAATTTTACAACATAAACCTACGCCCAGTCGAGCTAGAATATGGGAAGCCGGGCTACATAAGCTTGGAGGATTTTATCAAAGATGATGACATCCTTTTGTATCAGGAAACGAGCCACGCAGAAGTGAAGAATACATCGGCGTTTATTGAAACAATCGCACAAAGGGTAACAACTAGCTTGCGCCGTTATCTTTCCCGAGAGAATTCTGCTGCGCGGGAAAAAGCGGAACGCAAAGAAGTAAAGGCAAGACAAGCACGCCTGCGCAAGGAAAAACTGACGACAGAAAAGGAGGGGGCCGTGAAAAGACTACGTAAGAGTTCACAGGTAAAAGGCGATACAAAAAAATCAAGAAACCGGAAAGGCCGGAAGAATGAGAAACAAGTCTCGGATAGAAAGTTACGAACAGCTCTGGAACGGAGTGGATTGGCTCAATTTTAAAGGGCTAGGCACTTTAATGTCTATCTACTGTCTGAGTGAACATTACCTATCTTATCGACTATCTTCTGGGTCGTTCGGTAGACCTCTCCGTTTCATAGTATCGCCCATTCCTGAACAAAGAATGTGAGAGTACTGTTCAAATGTAATCCCTAGCTTTGACTTCTTCCGAGATCTTCCTGTCTCACAAAACTTCCCACGACTGAATGGAAGCGAGATCTTCGATCACAACGTTGCGGGAGATGTCACCTCTGAGCACTCATACAAAGACTCCCGTGGTCACGCCAATTGACTAGTATCAAAGCGTATAGTGCCACTTATTATTTGGTCACCTTTTACAAGTTGTGATCGCCTGTTCAAACTCTCTGAGCGATCGTCTTTTACTCAAGGTGTTCATCCCCATTATGCCTTGCCTCCCGAGGCTTCTTTCTAAACTCATCCGGTCAGGTGTATGAAGTCCCCAGACAAAAACACGATTCTCAAGATATCTGGGTTTTCTAGAGCCGGATGGAGCAGTTGAGAACAGTAAATCTAATTTCTGCTGAGTAGCTTTTGTGATTTGACGAGGACTTTTATTGCAATCTGTACTTAATTGATGGAACGCAGCTACAGTAGAGGCAGCTGCACAAGGTGAGAGAGGGATGAGTGAGATTGCTACCGGAGAGAGATTCCTTCTAGACTATGGACTGCGGTGTGCGAGAGTGTCATATGCCATAAAAACACCCCCCTTGAGTCGCGACTCTGTTCGCAATTTAACTGGAAAACTGGAATAAAACTCTTTTATGGTATTGGGACATTGCCCGAGTTCTGCTTGTGTCGAGACGCTCATGAAGGCAGTTTCTTCATGCTCAGAAGGGTCAAGAAGCGCTCGCATTGGACTCGTTGTAGTGGCTTGGTAAGACCATCGGCGGCTTGCTCGGAGGACATAACTTTGATGAATTTCCATGCGCCTCTGGCCACCTGGTCACGAATGTGATGATATTTGACATCCATCAATACGCTTAGTACGCCGACGCAAATCGTAACTCCCCGTAAGGAAGATGGTGCCTTGGATGTCCTCTAGATTAAGGTAGGCATATCCAGCAGACCAAATTCGTTCATAAATAGGCGCAACCAACCCACCCCTGTACAGCCAAAGAAGCCACAATGTACTCGCTTTCGGTAGGCGAGAGGGCCACGCAGGTCTGCTTCTTGGAAGCCCAAATGGTAGGGCCGTTTGCAAGCTTGAATACGAAGCCGAACGTGGACATGCAGGAATCGGCATGCTTACCAGCCCAGTCTGCATCGACGAAGCCGAGTAGGCTATTAGGTGAATATGAGTAAGTAACGCATAGGTTTTCAGACCCCTTGAGGTAACGAAAGATGCGCTTTAACGCAGTCATGCGATTGGGCGAGGGGCTTTGTGCGTAACGGGCCAGCTTGGTGACTGGAAGTGAGATCTCTGGTCTTGTATTGACCATGAACCAATTCAATGAGCCGACCATCTTCCGGTAAAGCTCGATCTCATCATCAGCCAATACGGTGCCCTCACGCGATTGTTAGGTTTCTTTGTCATGAAAGGGCGCAGGCACTGTATACGCATCTTGAAGTCCAAATCTATTCAAGATTTTGCGCACATACGCTATCTGCGAAAGGTAGATCCGGCCATCCATTTGAATAATATCGATTCCAAGGAATCTCCTGACTTGGCCGTTAGCAGTGACATCGAACGTCTTTTTTGTTTTGATCTTTCAACCACCTTCGCGCATCATCAGGAAGCGTAATAATCAGCATACCATCAACATGCAGAAGGAAGTAGAGCCTGAGTTTATGTTAACGAAGACGAAGTGATCAGCCTGCAGGCGCTTGAATTCAATGGCAAGGAATGCACCATAAACGGTATTGTACCACTCCCTTGGGCTCTGCTTCAGGCCATACAGCGTTTTGAGAAGGAGGCCGCATTTCCCTGGCTCTTTGAAACCTTCAGGAAGATAGATGTAAATCTCTTCCATCAAATCGGCGTCCAAGAATGCAGCCACGTAATCGATATGATGCATATTCCAAACATATTGGGCTGCAATTGCGCAGAATATCTTGAAACTTGAAGCTTTGGCTGTTCTGGCGTAGACATCAAGATGATCGATTCCTTCGCGATGCTTGGAGCCTTTTGCAATGAGGCGGGCTTTATAAGTGCCGCCATCTTTGATGCGCAAGGTTCATCGAAGTGGTAATAGAGTCTTCCGATTCTGATTCTTCGTCTTTTTGGAAGGACGATCAACCACACGTCAAGTGCCATTTTTCGGCTGCTTTTGCATCTACTTGTGCGCTGCGACAACCCAATTTGCCTACTCCTCCTTGGTCAAATTTTGCTTCATGTCCTGCCAGCCGTCCGGCTCATATGTTGTCCGAATTGGAGCTAATTTTTTCGGCAGCAGATGCGAAAGTGGTTGTAAATCAGCAGCCGGATTGCGAGTCGAATACATTACGTATTTAGTATCAACAACGTATGCAGCGTAAGAATCGTTCCGAAACGCGAGATACTGTTCAGACTCAATAGCCGCCCGTCATTTGATGCGTACGCATGTTGAGCGTCGAAGTGCCGGATTACCAGTCCCAGTTTGACAGAGTTCCAGTCGATTTTAGTCGAGATCTGGTTGAGTTATCTCCAGTTCTGCCTCAGTTTCAAGTTGTTCGAGTTCTGCCTGAGGACTGCCGAGTTCTGTCGCAGTTTTATGGAGTTCTGGTTGAGTTTCAAGTTAGTGGTAGACGTCCTGAATCTGAAGCTCCCTTTCGAAGGAATTCTTTCAAAGTGTTGACCGTTCCGAAATTGGTGGCTCATCCGTTGCAATGAAAGGGTTTGGAGACACCGGTCTTAGCGGACCTTCAATAACCGGGTCCATTCGGTTGTCTTCAAAAGGCTGATCATCAAGAAACCTGGCAGGCACATATCTACGTTGATCGACTGTAGGGTCCATGTGGCCCTGAAGCCGTTGGCCTGCATCAAGATCATAATCTGGAGCTGAAAGGTCCTTCAGACCGTTCTCATTGCCATTGACGTTTCTGGATGTAATAATGCGCTTGGAATGCACATCATTCAGCTTATAAGCATCTGTGCAGTAGCCGACCACCCTAGACTCAGCCATGCGCGGAGAAAGCTTATCTGCGCGCCGTTCCTGTGGAATCAAGCACCAAGCTTGACAGCCAAGCACGCGCAGATTCCAAATATCTGGCTTTTTGCTACAAGAAGCCTCATAAGACGTCATTTCAATAGTTGAATGCCAAAGGCGATTCATGGTGTAATTGATTCCCAATAGCAGCTTACTTCAAAGGTGCTTTGGAAGCTGATGCCCCGAAAAAATAGCCACACCTGATTCAATCAAACACCGATTCTTCATTTCAGCCACTCCATTGAGCTGCTGAGTGTAGGGTGGCACCGGATCCCATACAATGCCGGACTCTTCGCAGAAAGCTTTAATGTCGAGGCGCTCCTTTGCATTATTACCGGAAATTATTTTGACCGTGTAAGTAGATTGAGTAGCCAGATAATTGACCACAAGGCGCATTTTGTCAAAATCTCACTTTTAGCCTTGAACAGGAAGACCCAACAGAAGCGAGACGCACCATCGGTGATAGTGGTGATGAATCTCTGGCCACCAGTGCCTGCAATTGAGATTGGACCCCAAATATCGGTATGCAGCTTCTGACAAGGCGTAGTCTTGATACATTTGCCCTCGCCGAATAATAGGCGATGGCTTTTCCTTGGAAGCAGGGAGGACAGGGTGTAATAATACCATTGCCCTTTTGAATCTTAATACCATCGGCATATTCAGGCATGCGTTTCACCTTCTGTTCACCTGCGTCGCAAGCTCTTTTGTGAGCCAAATGCATTTGAATAAGCTTGAATTTTGAAGTCCTCGAAGCCGCAACGCTAAATTGTTCTTGATCAAGCAAATCTGATATTTTTACCAGAGATAGCTCAACCGCAGAGGCGCAGAATATATCAATTTGACTATCTCCGGCGCATATGTGAACCCAATATTGGCCGTTAATTCGATGCGCGGTAATAATGAATTGACCCCCCTTAATGAAGGAACTTTGGTCCATTCCAAACCGAGTCTCGATGCCCAAATCTTTGGCCAGTTGCCATGACGAAATGAGGTTCATATGGAATGATGGGATACACCAAACCTTGTGCACAGTGAGCTACGTAAGAGAATCTCATTCGTACTAAAATTGTGCACTACATCACCTATCCTTCGGTGTGGACATGATGGCCATCGATTAGGCTGACTTGGGTGACGAAAGGCGCAACACGAATGGAATTCGCGCGATATGAGGACATATGATCCGCTGCGCCGGAATCAACCATCCACGCATGTTGATCGTTTTCAGCTAATGCGGCTGCAACATGGACGGAGGACGCATTACGAGGTGTAGTTGCAATGCGCGCGGCAGAAGCGCAAAGCTCCGCAAAGGTCGAAGATGCCTTTTTAGTTAATTTTTCCTTGTCCTTTGAGTCAGATTTCGAAGAATCCATGGTGTTCGCAGCAGCCACATCTGGTCCGCCTTGCTAGGCCCAGTTTCTTTTGTTTTTGAAGTTTTCCCAGCACTCATCACTGGCGTGAGCAGGTGGACGGTTGTGGAAGGAACAAAAATGGGGTGAACTTAGTCCTCGGCCTCGTCCGCGGCCGCGTCCCCTACCACGACTAGACTCATTTTGGTCCTTGTGTTCAGGGTCTTCTCCTCTGTCTCTGCTTCTGCCTTTTCCACCTAGATTTACAGAGGTTGCAGCTATAGCTGCATTTATGGCTTTCTCATTTGACTCCCATTCAATGAACTTCCCGTAGATATCATTAAGGAAGCTTTCGCGGTTATCAGGTGGCTCACAAGTGTTGATGAGAACCTTAACGCTTGAGAGTCCTTGGACCACAAGCTTGTATATGGCCAAGGCTATCTTATGACCGCATGAGTGATCAGGTATGGCAGCGTTGAAGTTTTCCAAAGCCGTTCGCCATCTGTCAACGGACGCATGAGAATCACCTCCGGTGTATTTAATAGCCGGAAGACTTGAAAGCCGATTAGCGCAGGCTGTGTGTGCTGCAGTCCCATACGCGTTGTCAAGACCCTTCATACAATAGTATGAATTAGAACGATCGGCGATGAACCCTTTCGCAGTCTTATTAATGGTGCAGTAGATGTGGTGGGTTGCAATCCGATGTTTCTCTTCAAACCATTCGTATTCCTTTTTTAGGTCATCAATATTCCTTTTGAGCCAAACTCGAAGCTCCTCTGAAGTTGGCTCGGCGCCACGTTAAGCTCTGAGCTGCTCGCGAATAACATCAAGCTCGGGTGCCTCTCGGGGCGTTTGAACTGAGCACCGTCTTGCACCAAGCATGTTTAGCAATGGATCTTTATTCAGGGTGCGAGCTGCATGAGCAATTCTTTTTTCCATTCTTCATGAGTCTCCTCCCCTTCCAGGGTTGAGACGTGCTTGGATAACTCAGCGATCGCCTTGATTGCATCGATGTATTCCATTTCAGCTGATTCGATATGTCTTCTTGTGCACTTGAAACGATATGCCTTTTTGCACTCAAAATGACCGAATATGGTATGTTGATTTGTATTTTGGTTGATGCGAATCAAAAAGGTTAGTGAATCGTTGATTCTTCGAATGATCCTCTGCGGATCAGTGGCGTTATGCACCCAGTAGGATTTCGTGTTGTGGTTTTTGTTTTTGTGTGCGCCGGTGCGTAGGGGCCGTCGGGCCCACGCGGCTTTGCGCCGAACCTACGTATGCACCGTGTTGAAAATGCGGTTACTTTGCGAATTTCTGAATAGGCAGTGTAGGAAGTGTTAAAAACTCACTTTGTGCGCTAAACAGGGCTCATAACCTGTTGGAATGCAGCTACAGTAGGGGCAGCTGCACGATGTGAGAGAGGGATGAGGAGTGAGATTGCTACGGGGGAGGGATTCTATCTAGACTATGGACTCAAGATCCGCACTAGGTCCGCCTACCCAGGAATGCAAGTTTTCAAAAACGGCGTTAGGTATACAAACCTTATCAGCTTTGGCTCATTCGTAGGCACGGGCGAATTGGCAATCGCCGACAACTTGTCTGCTGAAGGACGAATCCCTGTTAACGTGCATTCATGTCCAAGAATCTTCGTCTTGTCAATGAAGAATGTCGTCTTTGCTGGACTCAGTGTCAATCTCGCCCACCTCAATCGTGGGAACTACCGATCATACAGGAAGACCAGAAGTTCCATCACCGTCATGGCTGCCCCCATGTCATCGTCCATGTAGTATTCGAATCCCGCATCCCCATCTGACAGTCGCTGTTCTCCATATGGTTCCGGAATCTTTCCCATCGCCAAGTCTTTCATTCTGGCATACGTCTCTGGTGCACCAGTCAATCCCTGACTCATTCAAAGGCAACAGTATTGACCATATACCCAATTGAAAGCTGTCTCGCAAGCATATTCCGGAGCCAGTGGGATCGCCCAGTAGTCCTTCGTTGCATCCGCCTTGAAATATACTTTCTATTTCCTTTGACCGAGCACATTACTGATTGTTTCTGTTTGCATGGCATGTGGTTCTGCCACTCACCACAGTCCATAGCCTAGGTATCTCTCCCCCACAGCAATCTCACTCCTCATCCCTCTCACATATCGATACTACTGCCCCTACCGTAGCCGTATCTCATCAGTTTCCATCCGCTTCATTGGGTAATTTAATTTGATCGTGGCCGCATTCAGCTGGATATATTAGTGGACCATCCACAAGCTCGTCTTCACTCCGGGCACATGATCTGTCTTCTTCGGGAACTTCGTTTCCGCAGACCAGGGAGACATATTTGGTGATGACGCCTGCTTCCTCGGCTCCAACTTCGGAATAATAGTCTTTTGCCACAACTCCTCCGGGGTGTATCACACCAACTTCGCCTTCCTCGGCACCATAATCGGGTATGTTCGAATGCCGTGCACGCCCAACTTCGTGGTGGGCATCTCTCTCACTGGCACCTCATCACTCAAACAGTTCTCTCCAAATATATAGGATCCGGCTCTAGACATCTCATTTTGCTGAGCCTTCTTCAAACATCGGTCCCATCAGCTGGGGTTGGTTTGCGGTCCACATCTTCGCTGATCCCAAATCCTCCGATACTTTCCTGAGGTAATAGGTATATCGGTCTGTCTTCGGTTAGAAAGCCCATCAGATTTTGTTCTCGCACCTCTCTCTCAATCATCCCATCTCCCCCCCAACGTGAGTCACTGCAGCTATTTGCTTCATGAATTAAAACGCATAGGGTTGTATCTTCGGGCAATGTAAGTTCAATGCAGTCGCAAGGTTAACAATATTTGCAAACAAGCGCTCTCGGGGTAACAAAGACTTTCCATAATACGTCGTCTTCTCCAAAAACAATGAATCTGTGACTTACATCCATTAATCTGCCCCCTGACTGCCTTTTGTGCCCAACTTGAACAGGGTCTCCCTCATGGGCTGATCTAGCTTTCCGAATCCTCCTCCAGATCCGCGACATACTGCCTATCTTCGTCTTCTTTCCAGTTCAACTCACCACCTACCTCTCTGGTGATGACGTCCCAATAGCTGTCCAGTTCATCTTCATTTATATCGCCATCTTCCGGACTGGTATTCGTGTCTGGGGATCCTCCGATGCCACCCACTGCATCAATGGTGATCCGGATCGGTCCGTCGGTCTGATTCTCCTGGCGTTCTTTGGCTGCTCCGATTGCCTTCTGAATCCGCTCGGGGCATTCGCCTAACCTCATCCTTGTCGTTAGCGAACGTGTATGTGCCCGTCGAGTAGTCCCCTTTGATTTGACACGTATGCATTCAATGCCTGCTGAGCAACAGATGGTAGGCTGGATCACCAGGTATGACCATCACGGTAATGACGTGTTCAACTTCAGGAAATACCGAGTCCATTCTAGCTGTCACTTGACACCAGACTAGGGCATCAATCTTGGTGCGATGTCCATCCGCAACTTCCATCATTCCGCCCGAAATCGGTATGGCCCGAATTTTTATCTGTTCCATAATGTGTTTCGGAATGATGTTTGACGACGCTCCCGCATCCAATGAAACTTGCTCAACGTGGCAAGTCTCAAGCTGTCATCGGTGCATGATACGGCGAGTATTACTCTTGTATAGAGCAACAATACAACTTGTCTGAGCAGCGGCATGAAAGCATCACCGTTGTGTTCCTTCTGTCCTTTGGAATTGGTTCTCTCTTCCGGCTCCACTTCGTCCCTGGCCGAAGAGGAGAATGCTGGGACATTCACCACCATCGACTGTGGCAGGTCTGTACTTTCCTTTACCTTTCTCTGCGCCTTCTTCTTTTTGTCTCAGCTTGACGTCGCAATTGATTCGCGAACTCCGCCCGGACTGTGGGTGAAGTGTCACATAACTGTACAAGTGTCATTGAGGTCTTAGTCCGATTCAGAAAATCATTCATCTATATCCAAACGCGGACCCTCCAACCCCTTGATAGATCCTTTCACCATTTGAGGCTCTCCAGCTGGTCTCGCAGGCTTCTTTCTTTACGGGGTTTCCGGAACAGCGGGTCTGGGATCACTCGTCCCAGATGGTCTTAAGGCTCGTTTATGGTGTCTTCCCGAAGCCTTCGGGTCGGAAATTCAGAACGTACACATCCTGGATTATCACTATCAACTTTTCCCAGCTAATGTTCGCAGGGTAGCTTACCTGAAGGGCAATGAGAATAGTTGAGTGCTTAATTCTAGCTGTCAGGTATGGACAAACATATTATGCCCGGGAGGCTCACAAGAAAGATTGGGCTGAATAGGTTGGCACAGTGTGAAACCACTTCCAATTGTAGTCGACAATGGACGTTCTTGGTGTTACTGGGCTTCAATAGACTTATATACCCGTTAATCTGCGCACGTTTCTCTTTATACTGGACTATTTCCCTGCGTCTTTCAGATACTAGTCATTGATGTTCATAGGGCAGGGACAATGATCGGACCATTGATGTCCGTGTGGTTGATATGAGTGCTAGCAAATAACTAGACCGCAACTGCTCCAATACAAACTGATAAAGCGCAGATGCCCAGAAAGAGTTAAATGATTGAACAGGGAATAAAGGAATCAATTAATCGGTGCGCCCTCTGCGCAGCTAATTCCATCCCGCGTATCCAGTACCGCCCGCCGCCCTCTACGTATCTGCGCTTAGTGGTGGCTGGCTCTCGAACGGTTCTGAGGAGGCCTAAACGAACGATGAGCTGACCTGGTTGCATAAGTCAATCAGAGACAGTGGCCAGGAGAGGAAGGGATAAGAGATTGGTGGGGTCGAGCGTTCTGGGTTGTGTCAAGGTTGACATGTTAGAGGTCAGACAGGGGTCTTACCGGGCTATAGGAGTTTCCAATCTACTTTCTGAAATTCCGGCCCCCTACTGTAAGAGCCAACTTACTCGGCCGTCTCCCTCTAACAAAGGGTTTTGTACTTGACAGGTCTCGCGCGTAGCCCGAGATTTTGGTAGCTTCGAAAAGGCCTGAACAATTGGTTAAGCAAGTGGCGGAAGCGAATACCGGCGAAGGAGGGCGGGTGCAGCACGCCCTAGCACGGCCTAATCAAAGTGTCAACAAGACCGTACTCCTGACCGGGAAGATGAGATCCAAGCTGGAGCCTCACAGGCTTTCAGCGTAAGGAACGCAGACGTTACCGTTGCCTAGAATACGTGGCAAAGCAGACAAAAGGGCCTCCGGGTTTGTTTCAATACGTTACCATCGTGAACGAAATCGTACGGTGATGTTTACTCGAATAGTAGAAGCAGACTAGCGGTATGATTGACGTACAGACAATAGCTTCACCCTTGTCTGCAGGGAGGGCGAAGTCTCCTCCAATCTTCGTCTGCCCGAATTCCGTCATAGTCATAATCTCACTATCGGCATCCGAATCGAACTAGCCTGTCTTACTACGGCTTTCACCAGACGCCAAACAAAAACATTTTCCAGAAGGTTGCGCGAACTCTTCGGAAACCCATTCAGAAAAGATGTTCTCTGTGATTACAGCCTCGCGCACAATCCCACAGCATATTGGGGCAATCTCAATCTCGCCTGTCCTTTGGTGTCTCTTCAACTGACGTTTGTCCAAGATAAGGGGACTATCTTTCCAATCCACGCCTGCTTATGTCCTTTGCCTGCAGCATAAGTTCCAGCAAGCTTTAGTCAGAGTTGAGGCGAAAGATCAAGCTCAGTGCCCCTTAACTAGCCCAAAATGAGCCCACCTCCGCAGACGACCACATCAAGTGTACAGCCCTGTGATTCAAGCGGAGATTTAGATCAATTAATAGGTTCATAGGTGACTAGGCTTCTCTTTTCTTAGTAATACGTACGCATGATCTCGAAAACGGAAAAGTACTCGGCTGTTCCTAATGTTATTGCTAATGTTGTGATTGTTGGTATCCAGTAATTGTCTTTCCCCTTTATGGAAGTGGATTTCGCATCCCTTATGGACCCAAGGGCATTTTGAAGTTGGGTATATCCGAGGAAAAGCTAGACTGAAAGCGAAGGTGAACCCCCTTTGGCAGAAGCAGAATATTGTTTGGCCAATGTTTTCACATTTTCCCCATCAGCCATTGCTTGTGGAAATGATGACCGCATGTGATAGCCACGGACTGACGCAGTAAGTGTGTGGACATGGAGCCGCTGATTGCTGATTTCCAAGCTCGGGATTTCGCTGAAGAAAGTGGTCAAGTCGAAAATCTTAGACCGAGCTTCCGCCAGACTTGGCTGCGATATCCTTGTAATGTTGACATCCAGTGATTATACCCAAATAGGTCTTCAGGCCCTGAATAATTCATCAGCAGAACGTAGTTTCGCAGTTTCTTCTTTGAGCAGACTTTCTGCTTCGTCGATCTCTCTCAACGCACGATGAACATTCAATCATGCACAGGTGATTTGGGATCGTCTTGAATCATTACGAAGCAGACCAGTATAGCAGTAGCAGTTCTCAAGATAAGTTTTTGATAGGTCCAGTGTCCACACGGACTTCTAACTATTCGAGGCCACAAGCGAAAAGTCAATATGCACTTGGCGTTCCGTCAGAGATTGCGTCTCTGGCACGCCCCAGCTTTCTATCATTCTGCGAGCCTCACCAGGCCTCCCCAGGAGATTGAAAACCTTCGGAGGAGAGGCAAGTTGATGTAATTGCCATGCGTGGAGTCTTCTGTCGACGTGGTGAACCCATGTCAAACTCGACAAACGGTTGTCGATGAAAGTGCATGAAGTGGCATAGTCTATATCCAGGTGTTCTAATGCACTTTGTCAGTAAGCTATTGCGGATCCCAGATATTGCGATACACAATTGCCATCTTCGAATCATCGTTGAGCCATCGCAAGTTCTTTCTGACAGCAACCCGCCTCAAGCCCTGCACTGAAGCGGCGCCTCTTTCACATCCACTGGTAGTTCCAGGTGAGCCAGCGCATGCGCAATATTACAACCAGATGCTGAGAGGCGATTGAACTACTGGCGATAATTTCCCTCAACCAAAATAGCAGCATAGTTATTCCCTGGAAGCGGAAGGCCAGGGTATCGCAGCACGGCTTGACTAGTACAAGATGGGCAGACTTATACTTCGATAGGCTTATGCGATTCTAGTTTGTGAATAATTCTGTTCAAGATCTCAAAAAGCTATCTGGGGACCACAACCTTGAAATCATCGGGCATAGGATATGTAAAGATCACTATCTACCCGTTATTCTTGTTGACATGATCTCTAGCATGAGGGAGAGAAGAAGTCTATATAAGACGAAGTCAATCATGTTGCTAAATAATCAGCGAGAGTTATAAACACAGTAAGATATAGAAGGAAATCAAAAAGCCGTCAAAGAAGCCAACACAAACCGCTAAACAAAGACTCATTAAGAGAAAGACCAGATTCTATCTTGAGAGCTCCTCTGCACATCAGTCACTTTGTTTTACAGTAGAAAAGCGAAGATCCCACCGAGTCCAGCCCGCCCTTTCAATCTACACCGGGTACGAGAGAGGTAGTCCGTGCGGGTGACCGAGCAACCCGGTGCGGAGCGGCAGTGCCCACTGGCCCAGTGGCGGGCGATGCCATGGGTATGTGGTCGAAAATTGAGGGAGGTAAGAGGTTCCGGCCGCTGGGTGGAGCGCTGTGGTCGAACGGGCTGGAGATGTTCTGCCGGAAGATGGGCGATGACCAGGCGTCATAGCGATCTGCTGTCGTACGTTGTTGGTCGGATGTGGAGGTTGGGAAGGGGTTTTGGCTGGGGTAGTCGGAGACTGAGACTCTGTGGAGACTCATCATCTCTGTGGTGGCGGGTGTACTGAGTATTGATTGCGAGAATCGGAGGTCTGCGTGATGTGGGGGCCTAGCGTAGAATGCGTGGCCGTCACAGCCTTCAAAATTGAGAGTCTCTAGTATCGAAAAGTGACCTGGCATTGAACGATTCACAATTTCGATTGGTGTGGTGAGAGGAGCAGAGACTTGCTCCACAGAGGAAGTAGGTGTTAGCAGATCATCTTCGACGCGCTCGGGAGCTTTGAGGGTTGTCGGTGCCTTAGCAGACTCTTCATCCTCGTCACCGTCACCCTTGTGGCTGAAGCCGCAATTATAGACGTGAACGACCATGTCGGCGTCTGAGAGATGTTAGCTTGTAATCAAGTGTTTGAGGTTGACCGGTCTTTCTATACTAACTTCCCCGCGCTCAAAGCACTCCTCCATCTTTCGCACCCGGAGGATCTCGTAGATAATCTTCACATGAGAAGGATGCTTCAATTTCCGCTTGGTGTCGCCAGCGACTTCCTCGAGCTTGGCGGCAGTGGCGCCATACTTTCCAAGATTGCGCAGGATGTGGAGCAGAAGTTGAATGCGATCCAGGGCTCATTAGTATAGTCAGTATGTCAGCGGAATGGAAAGAAACGTACAGTCTTTCAACAAGTGGTCAGGCTCCATGTGTATCACTCCTCGGGGCCACCATTCTGGTTTGGTCTTCTCCGGGTCAGCCCTGGAGCCGGGAAGAGAGCCCGGCGGAGGCTTGCATCCGTTATACGGATATCGGGCCTGTTTGCGAGGCTCGATGAATTTGATGAAGGCCTCAGCAACCACGGAGTACTTGCGCTGCTAAAAGTGCTCAGAGCACTCTCGTAGTAGCTCATGACTTTCTGGGTGTCTCCAACGCGGATAGGGACCACCTTGCCAGATCTGGCGGGGAGGAGATTTTCGCGATCAGAGCCGGGTTCGGCCCGATCATCGTCAGAGGATGAGATGCTGGGAGCATTTCCGCGGCGTCTTTTAACCCTGCGGGACGATACTTCAGGGTACCTATAGTCATTTTAGATATGACTGCTTGAATAACGGGGGGCAGAAAATACATACGGCGAGCGAAAGGTTGGTATTCATTTCTCACACCCAAGATCTCCAGAAACTTCCAGCGTGTCTCAGACGAGAACACGCCAGAATTTTCCTTTCGAATAGAGGACGACTCATCGACCTCAAACTTGCCCTCGCTGTCCAAATGGATCAAAGCATAGTGGTTAAAAGGCAAGCGGAGTGAAGAACGAGGAGACGTCATCGAAGACTAATCATTCACGTTCAGTGTCCCAGCCACGTCTGGGTTCCATCAGTCTCAACTTACAGGAGTCACGTCCGAACCAGGCGGTCCTTCTATAGCCGAGGTAGACCTCTTCATAACACCGGTGGTAGTATTTGACTTGTTGCAAACCATGGTGAGATGGGTAACGCTGAAGTGTTACCTGGGTGTATGGATCGAGGAATTAGACAACGTCCGCTCGAGATGGGACGGTCCTTCTTACAGAGCGAGGCTAGCACTCGCAAGAGGTCGAGGTTGCTCTAGATCCCACTATCAGCCAAGCCCATCTGGTTATAGTCAGTCCTAGCGCTCTCGATTTCCAAGCAGCTCTATGCAAGCCGCACGAAGCCGTCCCGAGATGAACATTGTCATCTCGTCAACGGCCAATGGTGAACACAAACCGTAATGCCTCGTGGGAGCTTGTATGACAAGATGACATCCGTACACAATTCCAGACGAGCTTAGCGGTCGAGTCTGGCTTGTTTCTGCGGGGATGTATACTCACAGCTCTATAAGGATATGTGGTATAGTTCGTCCGCTTAGGGAAGACTGCAGGACAGTTAGCTGTCGGCCGCTGACGGGACTTGTCTAGTTGCAGGATCGAGGGGATGTTAATATTCACTTCCTCTCGTCGGCGTTCCAGAGACAATAGGCCAGAAACGGCAGTATGTAATACGATGCGGCTAGATTGGGTAGAGATTGAGTACCTTGATCTTGGTTTGGAGGCGGAGAGGCGAGTGGGATGGGTTTTCCTCCACCGGAGAGTAGAGAGAAAGTTGAAAGTGAAGACTGAATTCGAGCAGGTAAGGAAGACATGTCGATAGGAAATAGAGGAGTACTTTAGTTCTCCTCCAGCGGTCTAAGTGGATAGGGTGAAACAAAGTACCAAAATACTCTTTTCGGAAGCATTAAACACTATGCCACAGCAAGCCGAGCAGTTGCTGGAGCTATTTCGTTTCATTTCTATTGATGAGATACGGCTACGGTAGGGGCAGCAGTATCGATATGTGAGAGGGATGAGGAGTGAGATTGCTGTGGGGGAGAGATTCTACCTAAGCTATGGACTGTGGTGAGTGGCAGAATCACATGCCATGTAAACATCTATAATTACTAATATTCATATTTCCAGAGATGCAGGATACAGCAGAGCCCGCAGCGTGTCCTCATCTGGGAATCATCTTGGTCCGCTATTTGATAAGTTGACATTTGAGTTTCTTGACACCTACCCGATCATCTCCATTCTCAGACTATCCCGCTTATTCAGCGTCAGACCGTCTCTCGGATTAGACCAACAGGCCTGGCGCACTGTCAATTATCGATCGACTTGCCCTTCTCTATCCTTTCTCTAGCCTTAAGAGAAGAGGGGAATTGTTGACTATCAACTCAGGATAATGAAGCATCCCATCTACGAGGCAACAAATTTCGCGGGCACTCTATCTTTGCCATGACTGCATACAACTTGACGGTTTGACGGCGGGATGAAGCGTAGAGCCCACGTTGAACCAAAGTAACCCTAATTGCGGAGCGAAGCGACACTATAATGGGGCCAAATTCTCACTTCCAGCAGAATCTTTACCATCTGATTGGTCCACTGGGCGGTCTCCCCGTCCAAAACACGTGACCCTTCATTTGGTATAGCTTTACATTATTCCCCTGGGGCCCAACCCTCACTTCGATCTGATTCCATGTCCATTGATTGGTTGCTCTTCTCTGTCTAACCCACTTGATATACCCACAAGCACGTGATATTTCCAAAACACGTGAGCTTCAATGTTGAAGAATGTCCAAGCTTCACTTACGGTTTGCTTTTGCTTTCACCACAGTGTTGCGGTCGGTGTAGAACATAAAGAATTGCGCCGGTGGCCAACGGTTTAATAGCAGTCGCTTCACTCCGCAGTTCCTTCCGAGTGGGACGAAGTGTCGCCCTAGGAACTCTCGTAGTTCTAGAACTGAATCGATAGCACATAGTATAATACTTCCTAGGCACTGAGGATAGCTGTTCTTTGAAGCTGGTCGCTCCATGTCGCCAGGTACACGTCTCGTCCCCTCTTTGTCTTTAGTACCTGCTCATTGATACTCACTTGGGCTCGACTTCGTACGGAACTTCCTTACGTCGGGAAATACGCCTTTGCTGTGTGGGTGCTATGTGGGTGCTATTCTTAAAAACGGCAGATGTAAATCAACTTTAGCTTCGGAGGTTCCACAAAACAGGAAAATGGTCGGGAAGTATAATTCTGGAGCGAAAGGTGAAAATTGGGCGGACCCTACCCTGACGAGGGTCATCCTACCCCGGCTGAACTGTAATCTGGCAGCTGTCGCTGTTGACTGAACTATATCCGTAGCGTACGCACTGGCCTCCGATTCAGGCTTACTATCCGTTTTCTCTATGAAGTGGAGTCCTCGGAGTTACCTCTATCCTAGCAACCTACCCTTAAGCAGCGAACCTCGACCATATTGGCATCTACTTCAATTCAGAGCAGCGGACGGCCCAGTACGAGTTATCTAGTCGTCGACTCGTCGTGTGGAACTTCTACGTATCCTGGAACAGCTGACTTTGTACGTATCCTGGAACAGCTCCAAAGTCAGCTGACTGTTGTGAACATGACAGGACTGAACGGACTCAGAACGAGAGAGAGAATTGGACATGGGAGGATAGGAGACACGTGTGCCACGCACACCACGCGCACCGTCTCAAAACTCAGAATGGACTGTAGCCTCTTCTCTTTTCTTTTTTCTTCTCCAGCCTTTGAGATTCTCGCTACCACGCAGTCAAGTTAGAATAAAAGTTTATGAGTCCTTCTGAAGCTTTTCCTAACTAGCGTACAACACTGACAGAAAGACTTGGGAAACAAAGTTGCTTCCCTCTTTGTGTCTCTACCTCTTTTCTCTGACTTCCATTCCTACAGTTACTAGCCCGCTAAATGATCGGATAGCTTCTCTTCCTAACGTCTATAGTATATTATACGTAGCTATTAAATAATATTACTATCTAGTAGATAAGACTCTTCCAGTAGAGTATAAAGGTCCACTTTACTCAGATAGTGTGACTCCCAGGCAGTACAGCTACTGAATTCTACGTCTGGAACGGAGAACAAGAAGAAGCAACTGTGTCCAATGCAACGAGGAAACCAAGACGAAAGGGAAAAAAGAAATGAGAAGGGCGAAGTGCAGCTACATATATCCATCGTGGAGTGGGGCAACGGTGAGGCGGCAGGTCCCCATGGAAAGATCCACATGGAAGATTCCTCACAGAAGTAAACAGAAAGACAAACAATCCTCAGGCTCCAGCGCAACCACGTGTGGGAGACCTAAGGCAACAACACGAACACAAACACGATCACCTGACTTCGTGATCACAAACATTGGTCACGTGACCTCCTCCTCGATTCCGTCCTTCTCCATCAACTGGCCAACCGACCCACCAGTTGACCACAACTCGCCAGTCGACCGATCAACCGACCAACTGATCAGTGGACTCACCAGTTCACGACAACTGACCTGTTCACCGACCTTCCAACCTCCACTCTCCAAGTCCGCGCACGAACTGGTCAACCAACTCACCATTTGGTAAGCTGACCTTCGCCCATGCGTCACAGATAGAATATTAGTATTTTCTAACTATTACTTAGCCTTTCTCCCTTGCTCTCTGGTCAACATCATCGCCCTTCAGATCCTAGGGATATCCAGACTTAATAATACACAGTATAGGACCTAATCTATAGGCCCTTACTTACCTTATCAATACGTCTGTAATACAATAAAGAATACTAGTTTCGTTCACGTAGTTCCATAGAGTCAAACGTTGAAGTTACCCGAACTTCCTTCTTACTAAACAGTAAACACTTCATAACCTTAAGTTTCATTTCACGGTTCCAACTTCCACCTACTTCTTCTTACCCTTTCCAATCGGTCATTCCTATTCCCGCTCGTCTATACAGACCTCCCATCGATCATGCCGGACGGATTCCATCGCATTAATCATCATTGAAAAATCAAGTACTGCCCGTCGACGGTAACAAACAATTAACATTCTCCGCCTTCCAGCTTCGACGCATTGAGCGCCAGGAGGAACTTGGACGTCGCCCTCGAATGATCCACGCGAGAGAGGTTAAGTGGAGAGAGAGTCAACATAACGCAAAAAGACTGAGAAGGAAGAGCGAGAAGAACGGATAAGGCTTGGTCTGCCGGGTCCTAATACGCCAAACGTTCCACCTAGCTAAATCCTACTTTCTTCCTTGCTTGTTCGACCTAGACCGTCTACGCTGAGATCGAGGCGGCCGCTGCCCGAGACTCATCTACAGCATAGAGGGCCAGAGGTTGAAGATTCAAACGTTCTTTCTTCATTACCTCGGAGGTGTTGTACGCCAAAAGGGAAATTCTCAGAAGGATTCATCAATTTTATTGCGTGGTAATCGAGAATCTCAAGAGCTGGAGAGGAGAAAGAGAAAGAAGGAGAAGGTACAGTACATCCTAAGTTTTGAGGTGGTCCGCGTTGCGCGCGTGGCACACGTGGTAGGCGTGTCCATGTCCTCCCATGTGCTGTCCTCCCTCTCATTTTGAGATAGTCCAGTCCCCCTGTCATGTTCGCAACAGGAGGTATATAGTAGTAAGATATCAATAACGTCTATATAAGTTAGGTAACTTACAGTAGACCTTGCCAACGAGCCGGGGCGATAATCTAAGCTCGTACCCGCGAGCCCTTTATTTGTAAATATCGTTCTACTGGAAGGAAAAGGGAAGGGGAAACACAACTTGATTGGTGAGAAAGGCATGGGAAGGAAGAGAGGCTATCGAATGTGTGGGTTTGTGGGTCCCTCGGTGGTGAGTCGGCAGAATCATTAAAACACCCTTAACACCGCAAGCTTAGAGCTCGTGGGCTCCGAGTTGAAAATCAGAGATGCAAGCCCGTGCTCGCGAGTTTTAGGCTCTCGAGCCGAGCCGAGCCAAATCGGAACGGAGATATAAAACGGGTCTGGCTATTCGCACGACGCCAAACTACCGATCGCACGACGGCTCACCGAATTAGGCTAGCCCTCGCACCTACCTGTATGATTGAACTTTTCACTTTTCACTGTATCTACGCATTGTCAGATACCACCACCCCCTTACGATTATTGAAAGGGCCCCCCCCCTTTCAAATAACCAAGTTTTCAAGTCCCCGGCCGCATCACCGCAGCTTGAGTCTTGTAAGGGTCCCCCCTTGCAACTTTTCTGCCGAACCACCACTTTCAACACCACCGAACCCCCTTCAACATTTTGACGCTTTTACATGCGTAAACCCACCGGTAAAGAGCACTTTGAAAAGCATATAAATACTGCATTCTGATTGGCCGAACCTGACTACTAATACAATCTGCAGCCCTTTCAAGCTAGAGAGTTCGGCCGGTAAGACATCTGAGGTCCAATAACAAAAGTGGGGGACTTGGCACCTAAGCTTGATCGGGTTAGCCGTCGTGCAAATGATAGTTTGGCCGCTTTGGCATCATGCGAATAGCCAGATCCTATAAACCAGCCCTGGAACGAGCCGGACCTCAAATGAATCCCATGTTTTGGATGATCCTACACCGCTCCTCCCGCCAATCATTAAACATGGAGTATGCCGGGAAATGAAATCAAGCTCCCTTTTGGAAAGTAGAGCCGTTCTAGCACGCTGCTCATGGGTCGTCTGGGATAGCCGGACTGCCTTAAAAGCAATCAGATGGTAGGGCCAAAGGTTCTAACTTCTACTAGAAGTTAGAAGTGAGAATTGGGCGCTATGATAAGGGGACTGCCGAGCTGATCGTCGGGCTTGAGGTCGTAGGGAAACCGTCATTGCAAATTGGAGGTGGAACGAGAAGTTGCCTCTCATGTAAGTGCTTGGAATTTTATTCCTGTGCTCCGATTAGCTGACCGTGGCAAAATTGATCGCCTCCAAAGTTACATCACGTGATGTTTCCCAGATATTTGCTTCTGTCTCGACAACGTGATCTGTCTACATCTCCGCTCGTATCATGTGGTCCTACTGTCTCGACTCTCGTCTGACTAATCACGTGACCCGCGTCTCTTCTTTCAAGTATCAAGTCTGTAGACATGGTTGTGTGGTTTGCTATTTTCTAAGGCCATACGACCGCCTTTTTCCCGAATCCGGCTCTCTGATTGGTAGTTCTCACCGGTCCCGCTACGGGTAGATTCTGCCGATTCACCCCATCAAATTTTTCTACCCATCACCCGTAACACGTCTCTATATACGAAACATATTTTTACCTTTTTAACACCTATACTCCTTAATACCCTGTACTAAGTGGGCCTTTCCTAAATTGAGTACCTTGTTGTACGCCAGTTACGAAAAGCTTTAGAAGGACTCATAAACTGTTATTCATCTGTGTGCGTGGTATTCAAGGATCTCAAGAGCTGGAGAAAAGAGGAAGAAGAAGAAGAGGCTACAGTGACATCCCAAGTCAGTCCAGTAGTCCAGTCCTCCTGTCATGTTCACAACATACCTAATGATGATATTCCTCCTCTACGGTCGTTTACACCATATCGTTCTTTTCTATTTCTTAGTAGTAGTACTTCTGCCCCTTGACATCACTTGATACCATCATTACCATGTCAATCTCCCCAGCGGTTTCCTATTGCTCGCGATGCGGTCGTCAGGTACCGCCTAATCGATCTACTACTTTTGAGTGTGATTGAGTGTGATTGAACCAAGCTACCTTTCTTGATAACCAACGTTTTTGTGTGGCTTGCGGGTCTACGCGGTCGTCTGACCAGAGATATGCGCGTTGCTCTACGTGTCGCCTCCTTCGCCGGACAGAAAACCTCGGGCAGAAAATCTAGATACATAAGTGAGATACAAAAGTGATTGAAATCAACAATTCAGCGCCTAGTAGACATCTAATTTGAATATTTTCTAGGGCTAACGCGTAAGACGCGTCCGATCGAGCTCGCACATACGCGTATAGGGTAGGCGCTAGGGGTGAACCAGGCGGTCAAAGCCAGCGTGCGGCCAAGGGATTAAAAAATTATGGAACGTCACTGTAGAGTTGAGAATATTGATGTAATCGGTAAATAAAAACAGTGCCCTACTACAAGTACTTACAATTTGCACTTCTTGCCCCACGAATTAATAGGGAGGGGGAGCACACTTGTATACCAACGGTCATAGGACGGGCTATGACCCGAATTAAGCCGCATCGTTACGAGGTTCAAGTCACGAGTCCCTAATGTTTTTAGGTTGTTAGTCAGGGGTCGGAGGTCGATAAAACCTCAAAGAAGGAATCAAGATTCAAGAGCTTTTAACACCCGCCGAGACGGAGTAATCCTAGCAATATGAGGCTCTTATGCTTGAATTTCGATAGATGCGCCAGATGTCTTGGGCGACCCGAAGTGAGATCACGTGTAACTCGGTCGCTCCATAACCTTGAATTCGTTCGTACCTGGTCACTTTTCGCCTTACCCCACCTGTTCTTCATAACCTCTGCCGAACCCAGGCAAGGAACGCCGCTATATCACACCAGAGTCCCTCCACATATCTTTCCCTCCTCGCGCATCCAGTACTCTTGTTCGATCTTCTTCTTTTATCGTGTCATAACTACACGTGCCACAGTATGTCACCGACAATACAGATCATTTCCGCGACAGGCTCATATTCCTGGTATGATACCAGCGGGCTTGGGAGGCTTGATGTACATGCGAAAGAATTGTTGAAGCTCGAGGCCAAATATCTCCGCTGTTCACTCGAGCCCGAACACCCCGTCCAGCCGAACAATATCTACAAAGACTTTGAAACGAAAGCGGCACAGATAAAGGCACGGCTGCAGACAAGCGATTCTTATCTGCGTACGGACGAGAAGATCAGGAAGAATCTTGAAGCCTTGGAGCATGAGCCTCGGCTTCTCGAACGCATGTACGAGGGGTTCTCGAAAGTTATTCCCGCAGCAAAGGTCTGGGAGGATTGCAAATATAAGGAAATGGTCATTTTCACTTTGCAGCGATTTGGCCCCGCTTACGCAATTCTTATTGTTTGTATTTTCGGCATAAGCGGTCGGTATGGACGTATGTATATCACGTCCACTCAACTCGCCAAGATTGTCCAACGAATTGGTCGCGATGTGGGTTCAAATCAGAATGCCTTATATTGTCCAGGTCTAGAAATCTACTGGCACACATTGATCAAGGAAAAGACTACCTTTACTCGCACCAATTCGTCACGTGATCGCAGAACGGAAATCCCGTCAGGTGCAGATTTGGCAAGCGACTCGGAGGCAGCCGTTTCCCACTGTAGCGGCCGTAATTGGCATGCTACTGTCATGAACACAGGTTAATTCGAACCCGATTGGCTATACTACGATGTTTATCTTACTGATACGGCTCTAGGAGTATACCACCCGTCTTCCTTCCCTTGGGGTACTAGGAAAATGCTGCTTCTAGTTCTCATACATGTTATGGGAAGCAGCCGTATTCAGCTGGACACTCTGCGAAGGGCGCTATTACCCCAATACCGATGGAGTCAAAGTGGTAATCGAACAACGGCTTCCCGAGCAGACATGATGTGTTTTCAGGAACTTTTCGCCAACGAATGTACCTTTGGCGAGGAGATTCAGGCTTGTTCCAACGATGGTCTGATCAAACTATTCAAAGCCGAAGATGGCACTCAACTTTATACCTTGGATTGCGATTTGGAGAGCTATTTCCGCAGTTACCCGCAGCCCTTGTTGGTGGCTCTCTTCGCACATATAGGATACATCTATCCGCGCGACGACACCTTTGAAGAGACGTAAGAATGAACAGAGCCCCAACGAAGACAGCAAAAGGTCTCACTAATACCACTATAGCTTCTATACAGCAGGGAAGCTCTTAATGCCAGCGATGGATAAGCTATGGGAATACATTCAGAAACGTGATGTTCTAGATCTGCCATCCAATGTCAAAGGAAGCTTTATGGAGGCGTCCTTATCAGCTTGCAAGGTGACAAATCATACGCATGCGGAGTACATTGTATCGATATTACGTACGCTGCATGATTCTTCAGTATCTCTGTATGTGGAGGCTGTGCTTACCTGGCAGGAGAGCGCTTTGCTCCGGCGGAAGGGGGACATTCAGGGGTCGGAAACTGTTTTAGACAAAATCTTCCATGAGATTTCGAAATATCCGAGCCCAGATTCAGACGTCAGATCATATTGTGCGTATGGTCGTCTATTCTTCTCGCGAGCGGAGAATGCGATAATGCGCAATGATTTTGATCGCGCATGGGAACAGCTGGACCGGTGGGAGAGCAGGAGTCATTCTACGTCAATGATGGAACTCAAAGCTGCCCGACTCTTCAATACCGTCTTTGGGAGAGTTGCTAGATACGCAGGAAAGTTCTCCGAGGCTCGAGAATGTTTTGAGCGTTGCCTGCATGATGGTGACCCCAGTTACCGCCATATTCAATTTCACCTCGCTGACATGTATTGTGAGCTGGGACACAATAAGCAGGCTCGAGATCTGCTCTATCGTGATGTCGAGCGGCTGAGGCAAACGCAAAGCCAACGACTGAAAGCATTTAGGCGCCTCGCACTCCCACTTGCGGAGGCCCACATCAACCTAGGACAATTTGACGCTGCAAGGAATACCCTGGGGGCGGCACTGAAGGCTTATGAGAATATACAGAATCACGATATGACCGACCAACTGGGCCATGTCCGTACACTCGTCAGCCTAGCACGAATCGATTGGTACGAAGGCCAGTATTTATGCGCCGATGGGACACTCAAGCGTGCGGTAGACCTCATTGAAGCATACTCAACATTCATCCCTCTTGGGTTCGACTTTGCATTCATCAACCTTTTCCACTCCGCAGTGAAAAGAGCGCTAGCCAGTAAGCTCCTCTTAGAGGGTCGGCCACGTTTTTTTATGGCGGGGACTGGAACGTACTTTCTCAAAGAGATTTCTTTCACTACGTGGGAAGGTGCTTCTGGCTGCTATATTGCGCTTCCTTCATTGCCCTGTGGTTCCAAGGATACTGAGTGCACCGCTCACTAAGTGCGAGCTTCCTGTTATCAGAAAATGTGTCCCGTTTGCCCCATATGCCGATTTAAAAGTCTGGCCAATCGCACGAGCTAGCTTCAGAGCATCCTCGATTGTCTGTCTACAGTGTCCCTTGCTACTGGGTTCGTGTTCCCTGCAGCAACGCACGTATTCGTCCAACTTGTCCAACACCTTCCAGATATCGCTCGGCATAAGGCAGGCATCTTCAAATCTGGTTGCCGAGCTTTCTCGGCGCCCCAGGAGGCAGAGGTCACCAAGGTCCTTGAGCAGCGTGCGCGTGAGCTCGAAAATGTGACTTTGTCAGTTGTTGAGCCCGATTCATCGCTATGAGTGATACGCTTTCAAAGAGAAAACTGCTCACTTGCCATAGAAGTGGCTGAAGAATGGCCATCGGTTCGGAAGCATGCGAAATTGCTTAGCTTGAGTGAGCATATCAATAGTGGCTTGCGGATATTTGTGTAAGGACAATTCCTAAAGGGGAATAGTCCGAGAGGGGGACTGGGTCGTATACGAGTCATGAAAAGAGACGGTTAGGAATAGGAAGTGATACGTAGGGGAAAGGATATCTTATGAGCTACAGAGTGCGTCAACGTATGTATCGGCAGAAGAAAACTCTGACTCTTGATTCCCTCTAAACTATCCTCCTCGGATTATTTATCTTGGGGGGAATCTGCGAGTCCTTCGAAGTCATGACGTGCTTGACTTACGGCAGGCTAGAGCCCACGTGACCCATCCTGGGTGTCCTCACGTTCAGTTTGCCAAGTCCCCGACCGAGCGTACCCGAGCTCCCAGCACTTAATCACTGATTTCTCTTCTTACAATTTGACTAGCCTGGACATTACCAGCAGATAAACGAAGATGGTAATCACAAATGGCTTCTTGACGGTGCGCACAATGAATCAGGATTGTCCACCGCAGTGTCATGGTTTCCCGAAACGAGTACATCATAAAGGTAAGGGCTGATTGCCCATAAACACATACTGTGATATTGTGCGTAATGCTATAGAGTCGATAACTGAACGATGAGGATAGTCATCTTCAGCCATTTTTTCAGATCGTGATGGCGCTACTCTCTCGCGTACTATCCTTGAATCGCTCTACGCGGAGAAACCCGAAATATAGTACATAATCCTCGTCATACAGAATGACCGAGCAATTCCAACTACTTTAGCATATCATCCGAACCTCATTCGGTTTAGATGGGGCTGCGCAACGCTCCGTCTCGAATTAAGACGCTCAATAGCATCCTGTAGAAGTCAGAAGTGGACCTCTAGAGGCATTTAATAGCAGCTCACTTCATATTGCGAGGCCATCATAGCAAATATTCCTAGTGGGAGAGATGTTTTCACGATGTTGGTGGGATACGTTATTGCTGGACTAGCGGGGACTGCTGGCTACGGCGGCAATCCACGTCCACTCACCGCTCGGGAACACGCCACCTGGCTGAATAACGCATCATATCCTAATACGCCTGTAGCTATCTAGTATCTATAACTCGGTCAGAGACTTGGTAAACTGAACGTGGGGATACCCAGAATGGGTCACGTGGGCCGTAGCCAGCCGAAAGTCAAGGACGTCACGACTGAACGAAGGACTCGCAGATTCCAAAAGACAAATTAACAGAGGAAGACAGTCTGTAGGGAATCCAGAGTCAGAGTTGTTATTCTCACAAGCCTAAGTCTACTCGCTCTGTAACTCATAAGATAACCTTTCCATCACCTATCCCTATCTATTCATTACCGTCTCTTCACATGTATACGACCCAGTCCCCCTCTGGCTATCCCCTTTTAGGATTTGGGCCTTACATTACTGATGTATCGCAGAAGCTGGAAGATATCGAGGTTTTGGATGAGATACCTGATAGAGGGGCAGAATTTTCGACTACTTTTAATGAAGGCTTTGGATAAAGATGACGTATTGGTGAAAAGAAATATGATTACTAGATAGGTAGAGTGCGCACTGGAAACGCGGCACGCGCGGGAATTGGATGGGCAGAGTGTACTAGATACGCGTTGGAGACCCAGAGTACCCACACTGTGTGTGGCACAGGATTGGCTGCACACCGAGTGCAGTGATCGGCGGTGGAGGCATAGAGTGCGCACTGGATAGGCGCCACGGGATTGGCTGCGTAGAGGGAGTAACGGAGCTGAGACATGATTTCCGCCTCATTTCTCAAGTAGAAGTGATGAGTATTCGGGCACGTACGCCAATCTCAGCAGACTATATTCGGCATCCGAGTTGTTTGTGGTGAAGCCTGCCATACTGCCTGGCACACACATGGGCTACGCCCTCACCACCTGGGACCACCACCCTCAGTAGTCTAGCTTAGCTTCCTTCTTCCTTCTCTCTTCAACGTCGAGTGTTTTCACCTTCAAGGGTTTTCCTTCGTAAGATCCTGAGTCAAATAGGTTATGAGCCCTGTCTAGCGCGCCAGTGAGGTTATTCACACCAACCTTGCTGTCCTGCAAGCGCTGCAGCTTAGCACTCACGTCGCGACACCAGCAACTTTACAACTCCTCCAGCTCCGCGCTGATTCTTAGGCTCTACGCCATCCCCCTCTGCAGCCCCGAGCTGCTTCGAAGGCTTCTCGACGACCTCATCACAGGTTGAAGCTCTTCTATAATCATACACACACACCATTAACATGGAGAAGATTCAAGATTGCGTCCCTAGACTAAAGGGCGACTCCAACTTCGATATTTGGATGACGGAGTTTAAGAAATTCCTTAACTACAAGGATCTCGACTATTGGCCCGTTATCACCGGTCTTTACCATCCGCCTATTGATACTCCTCTAGACCTCCCTCGTCAGTCCGAAGTACGTAATATTTTGGCTGATGAGCAAGGTGTTGATCCTCAAAACATCACCGATGCGGAAGTATTCGGGTTTGGATGCAGACCAATATCCTCGAAAAGAATGAGGAACTAGCAGTCTATCGAAAGACTGATGCAGCATGTCTGCACTTCCTATCTGCGTCTCTTGACGATTCTATCAAAATCTTGATTCGACAATACGAATCTTCGCCACAGGCCTTTAAAGCTCTCTGCTCAACTTTCGGTCAAGTGAGCGCCCAATCCTTCCAACAGAAATACAGCGAATGGGCGACTTGTCACTACCGTCAGGGGGGTAACGCTAGTACCTTCGTCACGAAGTGGCAGAAAACCTTCCAAGAGCTACAGGAAGCAATCAAGAAACCTATCCCAGAGGCGATTCAGTACGGCCAGTTTATTGAGGCTATTCGCGCACACCCATCCACTGAGCCACTCGTTACACGCCATAAACCAGATATGGACAGTCCTCGCTTGATACAAGATACATTTGCTGGATTCCTTTCCTTCGAGTCTTCAAGACGCCACTATTCGGCTATGGCAGCTACCAAGTCAAATGAGAAATCCAAGAAAAACGGCAAAAAAGACGATAAGGATTCGAAGGATTCAAATTCGAAAGATTCAAGCTCGGATCTGAAATGGTGTCACTTTCACAAACGTCACGGCAAACATGGCACTCAAGACTGCTTTCAGAACCCCAAAAGTAAGAATTACAAGGGACCCAAGGACCAGAACAAGTCTGGTGGTGCCGCGGCTGCGGCGACCTCATCGTTTAAGGACGAGGATGAGAAGAAGGTTCAGGAATTACCAGCTGCTTCGTCTGTATCCTTCCAGGCCGACCAATTTTTCCTAAGTGCGGCGTCCGCATACGTAACTCCTCAGCTCTCAGTAGCGAGCGTTGACGCTGATGATAATCAGCACGTTTGGATGCTTGACTCTGGCGCAAGTAATCATATGACACCGTTCAAAGCCGCCTTCGTCACCTATTCAACATGCCGCATTCGCGTCTCATTACTAGATGGTCGCGATGTGGTGACCGAGGGATACGGCGATATCAGCCTTAATCTTCGCAACTCTGAAACGTTCAAGGTAACCGAGATTGTGCTTGAGAAGGTGTGGTATATCCCATCCTTCGCGCATAACTTGATCTCTACAGCCAAGCTTGCAGATGATAACGATCTTTCCTCAACTTTTGGCAAATGTTGTGGCTCTTTACGCAACAAGAATAATGCGATTATTGCATTCGCAGAACGGCAACGTGGCTAATATTGGCTCACGGCCTGCGATAGCGAGGAGCAGCTTTCAAAGCTCTATGCCGCATCCGTTGTATCCTCTAACATAACCCTCTCTTATGTTCGCGTAGATGCAGTCACCAAGGAGCCGAAACCGATCTATATGGATCTTGCGCATCGCCGTGCTTGTCATGCAGGTGAGCAAAAAGTGGCTAAAATGCCATCAGTTTCAGATGGAATTAGCTTCATCAAAGGGACTGGAATCAAACGTCCCTGTGCGCCTTGTATCCAAGGAAAAGGCCACGCACTCCCATACAACAAGGATAATCCTATCAGGACTCGACCTGGCGATCGATTACACATCGATATTTGGGGCCTAATCTCCCATGCAGCTCTCGGTGGTTATCGTTATTTTGTGACCATCACTGATGATGCATCTCGCTTCTGCTGGGTCTTCCTGCTCACATCTAAGGATGAGATCGTTGATCGAGTCAAAGAAACGATCACCTACCTCAAGACTCAGTTTAACTACACGGTCAAATCTATTGTGGGCGATAATGCTGGCGAACACGTTAGTATTGTAGATTATTGCAAGGTCTCCGGCATCACTTGGGATCCAGTGCCACCCTACACTAAACAGCGTAATGGTCTTGCAGAGGTGAAAAATCGTTGGCTTATTGAGCCGTTAGTGGCTATCTTGACTAAAAATCAGCTGCCGAAACACCTCTGGGGTGAGCTACTTCTTGGACTCAACTTCACCATGAATCGACTCTGGCATTCAAAGATTGGCATGACTCCCTATGAAATGTTCTATAGGAAGCGACCTAACGTATCTGGTCTGCATGCTCTAGGCTGTCAAGCTTGGTATTTTATCACAAAGGAGCTTCGCCATTCAAAACTATCGCCTCACATGGCGGAATCTCGCCTGGTTGGCTACTCTCAAGCTGGTGATTATCGCTTGTATAATATTCACTCTCGCAAGATCGTTGTATCATGGAATGTGGTTTTCAACGATATTCCGCTGGATAAGCTACCTAAGCCGGTCTACGCTCTCGATGCTCCTTCTCAGCAGCCTAGTACTACACCGATTAATCACGGGCGCTACGTTCCTACGGACTTCTTGGATACAGAAATCTCTCTTCAACGCGATTCACAACCTTTTCAGCTAGACCATACGCGTCCTCAGCCTGTTATCCCAACTCCGTTTATCACTCAGAGTGATCTGCCGCCGTCAGAGCGAGCGAAGCTTCCTCAATTGATCTCTATCGC